CACGTCACTGTTGACAGTCATAACTTGGAAGGCGTTGATAAACACCAACAAAAATACCTGCAATGAAATTCAACACAGAATCACGCAAACCGGACAAGTGCTCCCACGGGCTTAGTCATCTCTCGACGAAAAGAGACCAAACTCTACAAGTAGTTTATCCTTGCCGTACTGCTATATAATGACATCCGATGAGTCGGTGCTAGGAGTTTTCGAGAGCAAATTTTACGAACAAACGCCACAGACGATGGAACGATATGCTGTAAGTGATGTACGACGACATTGACATGGATGAACGAATGAAGAGAGGCTAGCTAGCTAGGCTAGCTTGCTTTTAAAGTTTTCGCCGCAGTACCCGCCGTTATAATTTCAATAGGGAAAGGAAAATGTTTAATTTCCATAAAAACACTCGGAGCTACTGACATCCACCGCTCAGAGGGAAATGTAATTAGAAAAAGCTTTTATCATATTTTTTTTTCAACTACAGTACAGTTTTTGGAATCTTCAAGTTTATGAAAATGTGAATATATAAATGCACCAAGAAAAGAAAATTTAATTCAATGTCGAAAACTCTTTGTGTTCAGTGTTTCGCAATATAATTTTTATAACTAAAACAGAATCAAACAAATAAATATACAAGCATACATATGTACATATATTTGAAAACAAACAATTCCTACTGGCTTTTTATTATTCGCCACATTTAGGTAGCCATCACCGAAGTGTGCAAATAAAGGCGACAAGCATGTTTTCGTTCTGCAGCTCAGGTGCGCACGCGTGTGGCCATACACGTATGCTTAATGAAGTGTTAAGTAATTTGTTTATTAGAAAAAAGCTTAAAAAAATATTTTTTTAAGTCGAAAAAAAAAAAAATTTCCTACGATTCGCATGCAAGCACACATATGTTATGTACAAAATATATATGTAAATGTGTTTACGCAAATAAAATAAGCTGCTCAACTCGAATCTCAAAACACTAAATACGTACCGGTTCACTCGTTGATAAATTCTTGAAAAATCTACTGAAAACGATGGTCCACATTTTAACAACTTCATATATTTACGGTAAAGTCCAAACCTTCAACTATTTGTATTCAGTAATAAATTAAAAAAAAAAACCACACTAAATTATAAATGCATACGAAGGTCCTTTTCTAGACAATCAACCTGCCGATCGTTTTTCACAATCATAATAATTATCTCCAGCGATTGCCAGTAGGCAGCAACTAAGCCCAAAGGAATAATCTATCGCCTACATACATACGTGTATGTACATAAATGTATGCAGTTCCATATGTATGTAAGTATCTACGCATAAATAAGCGCCAGCGCCAGTAATCCGTATATATCCTTAAAAAGTAGACTACATCATAACTCACGTGAAAACCTTTTTTTATTTTTGTCCACCTACAAAGATTGATTATGCTCCACTATGCCGCGGACCAGTGGTGAAGGGGTGTGAACAAACAGCATGCGAAGCGAGTAACAGCGCAGGATCGTTAAACGAAAATACCATCGACAACTCTTTGACCTCGTCGTCCGCTCTGCGTTGGCCCTTATTTGCAGCTATCAATTCGTGTACGATTTTATTATTTATTTGTTGTTTGAATAACATCATTTAAATTCTTCCTTTGGCTCATCGCTCATAGCGGCAAATGATCCTTGAAGTATGGACTGTATCCTTAGATAGAAGGGGTAATAAAGTAATAAAGTAGAAAAGCGACCGAGGGCGTGAAGTCAGACACGAGTCGCAAACGGATAAATAATTATAATGCTCACGTGTTTCCACGAATTCAAATTGAGTCCTCATGCGTGTATTTACAATATATTGTGCTTATACAATATTTCTACTTTCACTTAAATACATACGAGTTCATTGAAGTGTTTGGTTGGAGCACTCTTTGCTTTTCTTCTTGTGTCTGTAATTGTTGATTACTTGAATGCACTGCTGCCTCCACTGGTTTTTGAAAAACCAAAATCGGTAACAAATTTATTTCGTTTTGATTTATTCCACACAAACATATTTGTATATACACGTATTTAAGTAAATTACAATAACTTAAAAAGCTGTAAACAAATAAATAGGCCTTCTGAGTGTTCTAGTCGATATTTGTACATATATTTACATAATACATACACGTAGTATTTAACTACTAATAAGTTATCCATTAATTTAACAAAGGGGGCGACATTATTGCTCGGTGCGCCAACGTATAAGGTTGTCAAATATCTCCCTTCCGCTTTTTTGTCTTTTGAATTTTGCGACTATGTACAAAGCGCTACAGAGCTCGTATCTGGCAACACTATACATAATTTGAAAGGTCTTGACATAACCTACAAAACAACGCTATGTATGATTAGTTTGGATATTACGTTCAACAGTTATAGACGTGTAAACATGGAGTTCACTAACGCCGAAATTCGCGCTATTTTAAAGTTTTCCTTCGTTAAAGGCAAATCCGCTAGAGAAACGTTCCGTGAGATTAATGATGTTTTGGGGGATGGTACTCTATCACTTCAAACCGCGGAGGAATGGTTTCGACGATTCAGAGCCGGTGAAAACGACACCATGGATAAGCCTGCCGGCGGAAGACCTGGGACGACAAATACCGATCAAATCATGGAATACATCGAGTTAGACCGGCATATGACATCTCGTGACATCGCCTAGGAGAGGGGAGTTAGTCACCAAACCATTTTGAACCATCTGCAGAAGGCTGGATACAAAAAAAGTATGATGTTTGGGTGCCGCATAATTGGACGCAAAAAAACCTTCTGGACCGAATCAACGCCTGCGATATGCTGCTGAAACGGAACGAACTCGACCCATTCTTGAAGCGGATGGTGACTGGCGACGAAAAATGGATCACATACGACAATATCAAGCGAAAACGGTCGTGGTCGAAGGCCGGTGAATCGTCCAAAACAGTGGCCAAGCCGGGATTGACGGTCAGGAAGGTTTTGCTGTGTGTTTGGTGGGATTGAAAGGGAATCATCCACTATGAGCTGCTCCCATATGGCCAGACGCTTGATTCTACCATCTACTGCAATCAACTGGACCGCTTGAAGCAGGCGATCGACCAGAAGCGTCCAGAATTGGCCGACAGGAAGGGTGTAGTGTTCCACCAGGACAACGCTAGACCACACACTTCGTTGATGACTCGTCAGAAGCTACGGGAGCTCGGATGGGAGGTTTTATCGCATCCACCATATAGCCCGGACGTAGCGCCAAGTGATTACTACTTGTTCTTGTCCATGGGGAATGCCCTTGGTGGTGTGAAGTTGAACTCAAAAGAGGCTTGTGAAAAATGGCTGTCCGAATTCTTCGCAAATAAGGAGGAGGGCTTCTACTTGGAAGAAATTATGAAGTTGCCGTCTAGGTGGAAACAGATCATCGAACAAAACGGCGCATATTTTTACTAAATCCGATAACTGTAACACTTTTTATAAAGCATTGAATAAAAAAAACAAGCGGAAGAGAGATATTTGACAACCTTATATAAACAGAAGAAAGTTGGAATGGAAATGAAATAACTTCTAATGCGATTGACCATTGGAAGAAGTTGCGGGCCGTGTGGTCATACAGATCCTCCCAGTTGAAGCTTTAATCCAACCGGCGACTATTTGACACATCACAGTTGCATTTGAGCGGAAAAATGCTGTTTGAATAAGAATTAGGCAGTAGCGAAACGTAAAAATTGCGCTCTCATGTTGCAAATTTTATTGATTTTAATCTTACCGAACGCGGCTCAGTAAAACTGTTCATCAGGACTGCAGAGAACAAGCACGAAAATAACACGAAGGCAATAGATGCAACAATTTCTAATGAGATTCTCAAGACTGGTACTTTGAAGAAGAAACATTAATGTATATACATATGTACACACACCAGACAAAAAATTATTTACTGTTTAAACTAAAAATTACATTTTGTACTTAATTACACGTTAAAGACCAAATTTTTCACACGCTCTGATTCGAATCAAAATACTAGTCATCTGCCACGCCTATTTTGGCACATGTATATATATATATACATATATTCAACACACATACAAGTTATGAATTGTTGTTTATGGATGTGTGCAATTAGCAGGGCAACGAAACGCCCTCAACGGAAGTAGTAGTAGTGTTCAAACAAAATTTATGTGCAAAATTTCACACTTTTCCCTTTTCACAAAGTGGCGACGGCATACAATTAATCAACTGATGTAATGAGACAAGGAGAAATTCATTGAAAAAATTGCTCTAAAAGGTATCTATGCAGCTGAGAACTCCAGTACTAATAGAGCATACACGTCTATTAATTGAGGATGAAGATGAAATCACTTACCATTAAATAATTTTCTGCATTTGCATGCATTTATGTCGGCTCAAATGGGGTATGAATATTGGAAGAGTATGCCGATAATTGTCTCAACTTTGTCACCGGATATTTGTCAACTTTCAAAAACGAAGTCATGTCGTGGCAATGACCCTTCACTTCATATTGGCTCAAACTTTCCTACTGAAATTTTGAATTCAAGCACGACCATATACGGTAAGCCGATTCCGGAGATTCCTTAATCTAGGAGTTCAGTCTAGAGATCCGACGACAAACAAGTTGGAGGAAACCTTAAGAGCCTGCTACTCTAACGGTAGCCGGTTCGGTGACTTAACCCCGTTTAGGTCAGCAGGTAACATTACTCTTCTTAAGCAATAGTAATCAAAAAACCACTTCAATTGACCACACTTAGTATAACCGAGATGTAGAAACCGGGTGGAATGATCCTATTATATGCCTCCGGCCAAGATGTTGGTACGGTGGCGTAAAACTTCTGACAGTTAATAATCGCAACAACTTAGGGAGTGATATTTGATTGCAAATGACCTAAACTGCTACTAATTCACAAAGCTGAAAAAAAGACACTTAAAAAAATGTGGTTTTGAGATAAAATTTTAGTTTTTTTAACACAATGCAACCCTAGGAACAAAGGGTATGTTCAGACAATACCATCAACAGATCAGCTAAATTTGTCAAAATTCCAATTGTGTTGAAGCCGCCGCATGCGTGGACATTTGTATTGGGATTTGATCTGATTTTGTGAAGTATTGTGAAAATGCCGACAATTGGAGTAAAACGAGATTTACTTTTCGAACAGCTGGGTCAGAAATACAGTAAGTGTCATTCCAGCAAAATCCAATCATTCGAGGTCGGTTGTGGAATTAATAGCACTTGTTTTCTCTACTTATAGCTGACGATGAGTTCCAGCAGTTGTGCTTTGCTTTTGGTCTCGAATTAGATGAAGTGGTGAGTAACAACATAGGAAACTAGTAGTTCTCATATCAATAAAGTACCCGGTGTTTTTATAGACGACTGAGAAGCAAATGCTCACTAAGGAACAAGGCGATGTGGCTGCAGTGGCGGATGCATCTGAAGATATTATTTACAGAATAGACATTCCAGCAAATCGATATGACTTGCTGTGCATGGAAGGGCTAGTCACTTCTTTACTTGTTTTCCAGGGCAAGTAAGTAAAGCGCGAAAGTTATTAAAACGAACTTAAATTTATTTTATTTATTTCAAGAATAAAGCCACCGAAATTCAAAAAAGTGGAGCCAGCTAAGCGCCAAGTGCTTAAAATTCTACCTGAAACTGCAGAAATACGTCCATTTGCTGTAGCAGCTGTTTTGCGGAACATCACCTTCGACAAGCAAGCGTACGACAGTTTCATTGAACTTCAAGATAAATTGCACCAAAATCTTTGTCGGAAACGCGCTCTAGTCGCAATTGGTACCCATGATCTGGATACCATACAGGGTCCATTTTCTTATGAGGCGCGCACCCCAGATAACATCCAATTTGTACCATTGAACCAAACGAAGAATATGAATGGACATGAATTAATGAACTTTTATTCAACTCACGCTCAGTTAAAACAATACTTACCCATAATACGGGAGTCGCCAGTATATCCAGTTATCTATGATGCAAATGGTGTAGTATTATCATTACCGCCAATCATCAACGGTGATCATTCGAAAATCACACTAAAAACACGCAACGTATTCATTGAGTGCACCGCAACCGATTTGACTAAAGCGAAAATTGTACTGGACACCTTAGTATGCATGTTCTCAGTACATTGCGCTGAGAAATTCACGGTGGAGCCGTGTGATGTTGTACAACCAGATGGCACTGTGATTACATATCCACTACTTGAAGTGCGCGAAACAGTGATATCTGCTGAAAAGGCTAACGCCTACATTGGCATTCAAGAAGAATCGTCCAAAATCGCTGACATGCTCACGCGCATGTATCTAGATTCGCATGTAGAAGAGGGTGGCAATAACATAACCGTGCAAATACCACCAACACGACACGACGTCATGCATGCTTGCGATATCTATGAGGATGTGGCGATTGCTTACGGTTACAATAACATTAAAAAATCTTTGCCAGCTTTTATGCATATAGCGAAACAATTTCCACTCAACAAATTGACCGAGCAGTTGCGTGAACAGGTGGCTCAAGCAGGTTTCACAGAAGCTATTACCTTTACTCTCTGTTCGCGTGATGATATTGCACGAAAATTGAATAAATCCATTGATGCTATAGCTGCCGTGCACATCGCTAATCCGAAAACGTTAGAGTTTCAAGTAGTACGTACCACTTTGTTATCAGGTCTACTCAAAACGCTGGTAGCCAATCGTAAAATGCCATTGCCTTTAAAACTATTTGAAATTAGCGATGTTGTAGTAGCTGACGACGATACCGAAGTGGGTGCACGTAATGAACGTCGGCTTTGCGCAGTCAACTGCAACAAAAGTGCTGGATTTGAAGTTGTACATGGTTTGTTGGATCGCGTAATGCAGTTGTTAGAGGTCCCTTGGAAAACGGGAAATAGGAAGAATGGATACTATTTGCAAGCTGCTGATGGTAAGACACCTTGTGCTGATGAACTTAAGCATATGATCAATTTATATATATTTCGTTAACAGATCCCGCTTATTTCCCTGGACGTTGCGCTAGTATTATGCTTGATGGTGTAGCAATCGGTCGCATTGGTGTACTGCATCCAACTGTACTTCAGGCATTTGAATTAACCACACCCTGCTCAGCTGTAGAGTTCAATATAGAACCATTCGTATGACAGCGGTATCCAGATACGATAAAAGATGCGATAAAGTAACTCCTATATCTGTTCTTGACAGAAAGCTGTTACGTTAGGAAAAAGTTTAGAAATATATAAAAGCGATGGCATGTCTAATTCAATTTATTTAAAGTTATTTAATAAAATTTGGAGCCAACACACCCTTTTTTTATTTTATAAAACTAATCTCACATAAAATATGCAGTATTTATAGCTTAATTTCAAATAATCAATATTCTTTGGTTCAATTCGACAGAAGCTGTCCGACAATTTGCCGGTCAACCGATACATAGTCATAACCTTGGTTTGACTTCGCTGAGTTGGCCAAAATCCTACTGTCCAAATGCAAAATCCAGCAGAAGCAGAAGGAGTTCAGTCTGCTCTGGAACATAATTTATCACAAAGTTTCAATCTTTATCAACTCCGCTACAATTCAAACTCGAAGTATTTGAGGTCACGAGCCAGCAGTGGCTTACTGAATCGAACTTTTGATTTCATCTTCCGAAAAGAAATTCTTCTGCAACTTAGGCATCTCAAGAGAATTGGATATCTGCCAAAAATATTTCCAAAATCTAGATGCTTTACGATACTCTTCCATAGTTCTCTGGAAGGCTACACGTACACAGGAGCAAGGGTTCAATACCTCCTCGAATGGAGAGATTGAAGTGAGAGTATAGACGCTGACTTCTTTATTCTATTGGAGTGTTCTCTTTCTTGAATAGTCGATCCGCCCAAATACCTTGTGGTAATCAAATTCCTAACAAAACAAAAAAAAATGTGCAAACTACTTTTAATGAAGTAAGCACTTTCTATGGTGAAAAATGCCTAATCTACTGAGTTGATTGTAAAATAGGCTGTAAAAATAAGATCACGAGATAATTGAAGGCGATCATCACTGTAGACGAGCCGTAAATACAATCCCAAAGATACCTTTGAAAATTGTTGTTGGTATTGTTGTAGCAGGTGGGTAAATCCGCTCAGAAGCAAGCATAGTTAGTCGATGTTAACGAGATCATCTTGCAGAAGGACAAAATTTCAAAAGATTGGGTTGCATTAAGTGATTAATTATTTAGTTGCCAAAGTTTTTTAAATCGTCCTTAACATGTGTGTTACTAACGTTAGTTCGGAATGAGTAACCCGAATGCCACCAATGAAAGATCACTTCTTTTCCTTACCTTCCACGAAAGTGATTTTGTCTGTTGCAGAACTCGTGAAGAATTAAATGGGAGGAAAAAATGCCCAATGCGCTAAAGGATGCGATTTTAAAACAAAAGGACAGACACTAGTTCTCTTTAACCGCTCCGTCGTAGTATATACTACAATTGAGTAGCTCGTATTCGAAACAAGCCTTTTTGGTTTACTTTAATTTTTATTTATTTCATATTTTATGTTCACCAGTATAATCATTTTTATTATCTTGTCTTATACTGAACATCATAGATCCTATTTTCTGCTTTTTTATGTGTGGTATGTGTGTGTAACATATTATTTTTATTGTTAGCTTTAAGTTTTCGCTGCTGCATTAGCTGTTCCGGTTGTGGTAACTGTTCAATTGTTGCATATTTTAAACGGTTGGTTGTTTAAATTTAATAATTTTATAGTTTTTATTTTGCATTTTGTTATACCATTTAATATATAGGGTTTCATTACTTAATATTTTGTATGTACCTTGAGTACCGTATATATCAGTAGCATCGCTAATATAATCAATAATTGTAATTGTAATATATATTTATATAACATTCAGTAATTATAATAATAATTCATAGTAATCATTACAAGTATAGCGATAATATTAATAATAATAATAATCGTATTCAACGGCAATCATCATTATATTTTTCATCATTTCATTTTTTTCTTTTATTTTTTAATATTTTTTTTTTTTTTGTGTATATAGTAATAATTTGAATATGCTTAGCGCGTAAACAGCAATTACAATAATCATTATGCGACTATTAAATAGTCCTTGATGTCCTCCAATATCATCATCATCATCATCATCATCATCATCATCAACATCAAGAGCTTCCATCATTGCATTGATCAGCCACTGCGACACTTCATACTACATTTTGTCGAAGCTTGCTTGACGTTCGTTACGTACATACGTACATATGTATGTATGTATATATGTTTGTCAGCAGTTTTAAAATTTAAGATTAACTTTTTGTTTATAATTTTTGCTCTTACGCTTTATTTATTATAATTCTAAAGAGTAGGAGAATTGTTGTCATTTTTTCTCTTCATTTCGTCAATTCTGTCCAGTTTTTTGTTGTAATTCAAACTATCGACATTTTGTATATGCATTTGTTGTAGTGTCTTCAAGCTATTTGTTCGCACACACTTTCTTAGCTGTCTAACTAATAATCGTGTAATGCCTCATTTACATACATACATATCTTATGCAATGTGATATGTACATATGTATGTATGAGCATGCATGCATTTAAGTAGTATTCAATTGTTGCTTTGCCACCAGACATAATAGGCCGGACGAAATCTACTGATTTCTCACGATCTCAAGTGATCCTCAGTTTATTGCGTTTCACTTTATCTGTGTGTGTGTGAGTATATGTGTGTGTATTAATTAGATGCTTACATAAATATCAATTGTATGTATGCATATAAGTATTGTACTTAGTAGAGCGTTAAATAGCGCAAAATGCTTTTAATAATTTTTTTTTTTAGTTTCTTGAAAGCGTGGGGAGAAAAAAATAAGAGTTTTAGTTAGCACGTGTGTGTTTGCAGGGGCAACGAAGTGTCTTTTTTAAATTCAATAATAATTTTATGCATTATTTTGACCTAAATTGTTGTCAATTCTTTTCATTTCGCCAAATATCAGTTGCCTTTTTCCATATATTTTATTCTATACTGCTTTGCATTCATGCTTTATTATAATTTTTTATATTTTTATGTAATATGTATATTTGTTTATTGTTAATTATTCTGTATGTTTGTGATTTTGCGCACATTCTTTCGTAGAACTTCAATTCAATAATATTTTAAGTTTTCTCCTGCAGGATAATAAGATAGCGAAACATGTTTCTATGCTAGCAATGGATTCGATTATGTATCTGTACGTATGTACGTATGTACTTCCTATGGGGAATGTGATAACACTTTTATGTCTGTATGTTTTTTACACTGGAAAGAAGTAAATCCTAACTACAGTATATTTTATTCAATAATTTATGCAGAAGCTCATGCACGAAAACGTTTAGATGTATTTATATATGTATGTATGTATGCATATGTGAGTGTGTTTCATTAAAATAACTCGCCAATGGTTACAAAATTGGATATTGAAAAGCACGAAATTGGATATTGAAAAAGCACGAAAACTTGTTGATGCATTAGAATCGTAATGGAAAAATTTATTTAGTAGACTATTTTGCTCCTTAAAAAAATTAATATTGTGCAGTAAAAATATTGGATTCAGCGTAGCATATATCAAATTGCAAACCAACTTTCGACTCCTCCATTTATTATTAAAAAGGAAAATATTGTATAAAACAAATTGACGTATCGAGTCGAAATTTTCTCCATCGCAAAAAGGAAATTGGAAATATTTTTGAAAATCGCCTTGTTTACTAGTAATCCAACTTCGAAATAAACAGTTTTTCCTTGCGTCATTAAAACAAAATCAAATAACAATCACAAAGATATTAAAACGTCCTATAAAACCCTGAAATTGTAAGCTATACACAGTCACTGCCGCTTCCTCATCCTAATCATGCAGACTCCAGCTAGAAATGATTAATTTCGTAAAAGTCGCCCAGCAAGTTTGCAAGATAACCACCGCATAAGTTGCTTCATTGTTTTACTAAAAAAGCCAGGTAAAAGATTTTTTTTTTTGTAATTTTCACTTTTTCTGCTTACTTGTTTGTTATTTTCTATAAGAATTTCATCATTTCATGCATACAAATATATAGTTCAAATAATATAGTAGTAGATAATAGTTTATAATGTATGTATGTAGGTATAGGCAAAAGTAACTAAAAACTAATAAAGTAAATGAAAATTATACAAGTGCAAATCTACTGTAAATATACCGGGTCATAACTCGTTGCTGCATAAGCATTGGCACTGACCGATTTACGTGCATCATAAAGTACATGTTTATGTATATGTATGTATGTATGTGCGTGTGTATATGCGTGGGAAGGATGTGTGTGTATGATGAATCAAACGCATCTTCCCTTCATATACCACTAATACACTGACAATTAATATGTATTATATTTTTCTCGTTCAAATTTTGAGCCATTGCAAGTTCTTTCACTTCTACCGTTTGTTGGTTTTCAACGCTTGACTCTTATAATTATATTGTTGTTAAGTTTCGTTTGTTGTTTCGTACGCTTCCCATTTTTTGCGTTAAATGAAAATAATTCAATCAATCGTGTTTGAATGTAATCGGCTTTAAGCTTTCAAGGTAAGTTGAATTCTTGGTCTCCATATTTTCGCTCATTTCTCTTTTTTATACTTTTTGTATAATAATTTTTGTATTAAGTATTTGTTTTTTTTTATTTTTTCTCATTTAATTAATATTTATATTCATTCATTTCTTTTCAGCTTAATCCAAAGATATATACGTATATACGCGTAGTGTAGCTAAGTTTGTATGTATGTATATATATATATATATGGGTATCTTTTGAGTGCGTGTATATATGTGTATGTGTGTATATAAATGTTGTAGTAGTAGTAGCATTTTTATTGCATATGAACTCCCTAGCTTCGCTTCGTTTCTCCTCCTTCAAATGTGGCTACTTCCTTCTTCTGCTGCTGCTGGCAACTTATGTCCACTGATAGGTATTTATATAATGTGCACTTCAAAACTTTACTTGACATATGAACACCATCTTGTTGTTTTTGTTGTTGTTGGTGGTGGTGGTGGTGATAATTTTGCTGCGCTTTACTACATCAATTGCTCCAATTCTGCCACATCTAAAACCAATAACAAATGTAAAAAATTAGAATAGCAACATCAAACCTCTAGGCAAGTGTATGAGGTAAGCAAACTTTCACCAACTCACTCACCTGTTTGTCGTGCTCCCACATTTCCAATTTCGACTCTGACGACATCATATGCTGTTGCATATCTGCGCCGCTTTGTCCCATATACGGATAGCCGTAGGGGGGCATTAGGTTCATGGCTGTATTCTGTTGCATATTATGTTGTTGTGCCATCGAGCTATGATAATCTAACGGTATCTGCGGGAATAAACAAATAAATGAATACCATACTCACAAACCCAGCAAATATTATTGTGCTTACATGAAATTGCTCTTGATGATGGTAGTCGGCTGGGCCAGCTGTCGGCCCACCCATGCCCCCACCTAATCCACCGCCACCAGCGGCAGCACCACCGCCGTAGAAGCGATACTGTTGCTTCATCCAATTCGAATGTTGCTGTGCTTGTTGCGGTGGCACCGCTTGCTGTGGCTTGTCCATCATCCAAGGGCCATGCATGAGACCGGCAACAGCACCGGGCATCGCTGAGCTCATGCCGTCATCCATGCCGGGACCAGGCATACCTCCTCCGACACCACCCGAATTCATTGGATAGTTGCTAAACTTCCATGAGGCACGTTCGGTGCCGATAGGTCGTGGCATTTTACGCATATCTTCTTGTTGCTGCTGCTGCTGTGCGACATGTTGTTGTAGCAAACTACTGCTAACGGCAGCTTGATTTGGTGACATAGCTGCAGGCGAATTGTTTCCTGCTCCACCAAGCCCACCATTCTCCAAGTTCAAAGCGTCCACATAGCCACCATACCATTTAGGACCATTTTGCGGCTGAGACTGGGCACGTGTACCAGGCGCTAGACTCGAGCCGGGTGCTAATGATTTGCCTGCTGAGAAATTCGGATTTGTCGGTAGTTGGGGTTGTTGATGTTGTTGATGGAAAATGCCGCTGCTCAACAACGGCTGTTGCTGAGGCGGTTGACCTATTGGCGCCTGTGACATAGTTCCCATATTCCCTGCCCCACCAGGTCCGCCGAATGCCGAATTCCGCAAATTGAGACGGGATAGTGGATGGCTACCACTTCCACCGCCGCCACCTAAGCCTCCATGCATTTGCATGCCGTAATGCGGTGGCATTTTCATGTGATGCGGCAAACCAGAATTACCTGTGCCTCCTAACGGTTCAAAGAAACGGTTTAATGGTGGCTCGCCAATGGCACCGGGTGGTCCATTATTGTTGTTACGAGCCGAGTGATTTGGACCGATTGGGCCGAAGTTCATTGTAGGCGGTTGTGTACTTGCAGCGCTGCCGTCGAGTGCACCAATATTGGATGAAGGCGGCGTCAATGAAGTGTTCACTATACCGGACCGATGTTGCTGACTGGTATTCGGCGGTGGACGTTGTATAGCCAAACCGCTTGGCGGAATATTCGGCGATGCGTTACTGTTTGAGCCAATGGTGGTGTTCGCAGCGGATGGTTGACCAATCGGTGCTGGTGGCTTAATCACACCAGGAGAGGCATGCGTGTCGCCACTGCCACTAGTAGCATTTAATTGGGTAGATAGCTGCAATTCTTTGGCAGCACCAGTTACGCTAACCAAACCGATACCCATGTCATTGCGATCGGCAATATTTGTTGTTGTAATTGTTGTCTTTTCACCACTTGTCACTACTGATGTCGCGGTATTTATACCAGAAGAGGAACCGGCGGTTGAAGAACCACCGCTGGACATACTTGTAGCAATTATACTGGAATTCGACGTAGAGGTATTGCCGGCGGCACTACGAATCGGTGCCTGTTGTGTACCTATTGGCGCAGGCATCATATTGCTGCTGGGCGGTGAAGTGGAATGACTTGAGGAAGCCTTCGAACTTCCACCTACAGGTGAATTAAGAATATTACGATTATAACCTGGTGCCTTCGAAGCATCCGCCTTGGGTAGTGAGTCGCTGACGAGGGCCGATGGTGAATTGAACATCTGAACATTTTCGCCCCATTGTGATTGGTAATTGAAGAAGAGTGTGTATTCGTTGCTGATTTTTGACGCGAGCTGTGCTCCAAAGCCGCCGGCTGCAGTATTGTTTAGTCCGGTGGAATTTGCATTGTCTGCGCTTGAGCCGCCGACCGCTAAAGTTGTCTCGGAACAATTGATTACAAGTTGTTGGTGTTGTTGCTGCTGTATTGCCGCAGCGGTTCCTATTGGTGCTTGCTGTGCCCCCGAAATCGTGGTTGTATGTTGCTGCTGTTGTTGTTGAGCTACTTGTTGTTGCTTCTGCTGCTGCATTGGTGTTGTCTGTGAATGTTGAGGCTGTGCGGCAGTTACTGGGGAGTCGCCTTGGTTTCGCTTATTCGGTGGTCCTATTGGTGTGACAGCACGTGCACCCGGTGCAGCTGCGAAGGTGGCCGCTGTTGTCGATGTAGTTGTTGCCGTAGTTGTGCCAGAAGTTATTGTTGCTGCTGATGTTGTTACAGCTGATGTAGTTACACCACCTGGATGTAAACTTGATACAGCCGTATTCGCTGCGGAAACTGCTGCTGCGGCGGCTGCAGCTGCAGCCGCTGCGTTAACAGCAGCCACTTCAGCTGGGTTGAAAACTCCAATAGGTCCGGAAAGTGCATTGTTGGTGTTGCTGTTTTGATTGCTGTTACTGACGCCACCACCGAGCTGGGGTGCAGTAGAGGCGCTGCTGGGCACAGGCTTACCACGACCGTAAGGAGCACTAGCGCCTATTCGTCCAGTGCCGAGACCATCGCTGACTTTCTTTGACGGAGAGTTGTGACCAACTAACGAATTGGTGAGAGCACTACCACCCAGTTTAGCAGCGAAGGTCTGAGTGTTGACCACCGTGTTGCTGCTCCTTTCGCCGTTTGCATGCTGCTGTTTGGAAGTGATGTTATTTTTCTGTCCGTGAGCTACACTGCTGCTACCACTACCGTGAGCAGCACCAGTGGTTTTGCTGGATCCTGAACCAGTTGGTGTGTCTTGAGGTTTTAGCTTCTGTGAACCACCAATTGAGGATTGTGACTGACCTCCACGGTTACCCGGTTGTTGCGATGAGTGGAAAGTTGTTTTAGGTCCCTGCGTGCGAGCAGAGTTAGATTTGCCACCTCCACCAATGGGTTGGGATTTACCCGCTTTGCTGCCGCCAGGACCGGTGGCCTTTGAGCTACCAACCGCACTGCTGGCAACTACAGTACCGTTGCCTCCAATAATTGTTTGAGAACCGTTATTATTAGCAGTATTAGTGGTGTGCGCTACTGATGCTGATGTTGACGATGACGTGGACGAAGCTGATGACCCTGAAGATGACTGACTGGTTGCTGTGGCAGTCTTGTTGTCCCATGTGCCCACGCTCAACGGCAATGACGAAGCTTTAATGCTAGCGTTAATGCGTGGCAGCATCTGCAATATGTCCACCTCGGGATCCTTAATGAGTGACAATATAAGAATATGTGCCTGTTTAGTGGCATCGGTTTGTCCTTTAATGGTAATGCTGCGTTCTGACTGGTTTTTGCCTTGCTTCTCTACCTCAATGTGGGCGCCTGTAGTGGCACGTATTGCGTTGATGTTACTACCAGCGCGACCGATTACCCGAGAAATGGCGTTGACTGGTACTTGTACCTTCTTACAAATCATTTCGCTGACTGCTGGGGGACCGGTCACCATCGTACCTCCGGCACCGCCAGTTGTACTGCTTGTGGAACCTGTTCCGCTTGCGCTAGTCGACGCTGTTGAGGCGCTTGTCGAAGCACTGGTCGTGGACGAAGTAGTGCTGCCTTGTTGGGTAGAGCTCTTGCGTACCACTTCTTTCCAGCCGTCTTCGCCGCGTTTTGGAAGAGTTGACTTATGCAGCGTTGAGCCGCTAGTTGAAGCGGAATGATCTTCGGGTCTACAACCTTTTCCTTCCTCTCCGGTAGATGCGCCAGCAGCAGTGTTACGTGTGGCTGAGAATATCAGCGATTTACGAGTAGTCGAGTTGCTGTTACCGCCAACACTTGTGACGCCTCCCGTCCCGCTGGAAGCTGACACGTGTGTGGGGTAATTGTTTGAGTCGTGTAACTTTTCGCCTTTTGCTTTTTCTGTGCCGACATTGGCGTGATGTTGCTGGTTTTGATCGCGTTCACGTTCACGTTGTGATTGACGTGAAATGCTGGGTTGGCTGGTCTCCTTTGGTGCAAGGTTCTCCTTTTCACGTTGCTTATTGCTATCGCGTTTTTTGTTCGTGTCCTCCTTGCGAGCGCTGGGCTGTTGAGATTCCACCTTTTTATTGGCTACCGTTGAACCGCCAACTGTTTTCGTTGCGCTGTTTGTATTCGTTTCAACAGCCTGTACGGCATTCTTTTTAGCAGACGTACTATTTCCTTTAGCTAGGACTTGGTCCTGCTCTTTGTCTTGTTGTCTTCTGGCTGAGGCAGGTTGCTTATTTGCGCTTTTTTGAGAAGGAGCTGGTATATCTTCGGCTGCGTTGGTCACGGCAGCCGGGGAATTAGCTTGCTGGGAGCTGTTTCTGTCACTGCTGGTATTGCGTTGTTGTTGTTGGACTTGTTGTGTTGTATTTTTCTTTTTCTTGCTATTCTTGGCAGCCTTACCGTTTTTATCACTCTCACGCTGTTGAGCGTTATTACTACCGGCTTGGGCATTGTTGCCAACAGCAACGGATTTTATTTCAGCACTGGAGCATGAGCCTTGATCTATGCCCGAGTCACCCTCCTGCGCATTTTGATTATACTCCTCATCTTCGAGCGCGTTATCATCACGATCACTGTCATCATCTTGATCCGAGTCCTTATCGTCGGCATCATTTGAACCGGACAGCACGCTGCCACCAGTTGCGCCTTCCATTTGCCGTCGTTTTTCTTCCTTCTTCTCTAACTTCTTCTTCTTCTTGCGCTCGCGACGACGCGCTGCTGCAGCCTTGCGACTCTCTTCGCGCGTACGCTCATTATCCAATTCTTTAAGTAGTATAGAAGCATTTTGATTGGCTCTGACGGCCTGTGCCTCCTTGGCCTGACGTATATACTTCATACAGTCAAAACATTTCTCAGACAGTTCTTTATCACTGACAGTACTAATGAAGCGGCTCATCTCCTGGTCGGAGGGGTACTGCGCCACATACTGTACCATCCATTTAACCACCTTGGTGTGACCTTTGCGATAGGCCGCCATTAGACACGATACACGACGGTTGTCTTGCGAATCAATGTCTGCATGATGGTTATATAATATCTCCACAACGCTCAGGTGACCTCCATGTGCTGCCAACCAAAGTGGTGAATTTCCTTTTTTATTTTTCACCTCGACGGCGGCACCACGGGACAATAGCAGCTCGACGAACTTCAAGTGACCCTTATCAGCTGCGATAGTAAGAGCGGTATCACGTGACGTTGGTACAGGTGCTGCATTCACATCGGCGCCTTTATCCAACAGTACACGTCCCACGTCGATGTAACCACCCGAGGCGGCTTCCATAAGTGGTGTGAGTCCGGTTTTGGCACGATGCTCAACGTTAGCTTTACGATCCAAAAGTAAGCTCACCACTTCGTGACGACCTTGGAAGCATGCAAGCGTCAATGCGGTATTACGGTTGGTTTCGATCTGCGCATTTATATCAGAGCCCTGGTCCAAGAGCAACTTTACGGCGGCTGTATGACCATTCATGGCGGCCAACATTAAGGGAGATATACCCAATTTACTACCGGTACGCGAATTAATTTCGGCGCCATGATTCAAAAGCAATTTTATAATGTTCACATAGCCACCGCTGGCGGCCAGACTCAGCGGTGTGTAGTCGGAAACATTGCGATGTTCCTTGTTCGCGTTATGCTTCAGCAAGAGCTCGACCACTTCGTAGCGACCGCCCGAACAGGCCAGTGACAGTGGTGTATCCTTGGTACGTTCCGATTGGGCTTCCAATTCGGCACCATGCTTCAACAATATCTCGACGACTTTCTCATGACCAGCTGTGGCCGCTAGTATTAGCGGTGTAAATCCCTTCTTGTCGCGATGCTCAATATTTGCATTACGATTCAGTAGTAGTTGAACGAGTTCTTCATGACCACCGGCACAGGCCAAAGTAAGTGCGGTGTCGTGATTGGAGTCTGTCTCAGAGTCGACATCAATGGTCTTGTCGAGTGTAGTGGTGGCAACGGTTTGCTGGTACTGTTGTTGATTCGTGGTGTTAGCTAGGGGAAAGACAGCAGCAAAATATATAAAAGTGTGTATGTAGATATGTGAGCATATACATATTCCTTCCAATTATAGGAACTCAGAAGAGGTTTTAAAACAGAAATATTGTGTAGATAGAATTTTGAATTCAGAAAAACTGGGATAGCTCACCAGAGGAATATCAGACGGATGTAACATCATCATGTCATATACATATATTTATTTAAAAACTTATAAAAGCGGATTGATTCTTTCATCAAAGAAAGTGCAAATAAATAATAAACATTACACCATACTTTCATTTATGATTTCTACCTAATTTCAAGCCTTTTTATATGCTCTTCAAGCCATATTCTGATTTTATAAATAGAATCTAACATACCTTGGCTGCCGGCTGGAGTTTGACGCAAGGCTGCATAACGATTCCGCTCCTTTCGAGACTGCTTATCGATGGCTTTCTTGGCAATACCGCCAGATATCTTCGATGATGTAATCATAGGTGGTGCGGGCAGTTGTTGTGCTGCTGCTGCGGCAGCTGCAGCCATTTGTTGCTGTTGTGTTGACAGCGTGCAAACGCCCAGCCCAACATCAGTCGTTAGTGGTGAGATAGTCGCATGGAATTGTGTGCAGCCACGCGCAGCAACTGATGCCGCACTGCTGTAGGGGGCAACAACGGGTGGTTGCGTTTGTGTGGCAACTTGCACCTGTGATTGATTAAACAAATGCAAAAAAAAAAAAAGAAAAGCGTGGAATATTGATTACTTTTTTGAACATACACGTACATTTTAAAACTACTTATTTTAAGTAAATCACTTTGCGCTCTTGTTTTCTTGTTTTCTACATTCTACATTAAACTTCTATTAACCGAATCCATTCGTCTGCATTACCTGCTGTTGCTGCTGCTGCTGCTGTTGTTGTTGTTGTTGATGCTGCTGTTGCAATTGTTGTTGTTGCATTAGTAACTGATGTTGCTGCAGGTGATGTTGCTTCTCCTTGAGCAGCTGCTGGTGCAATGCATGTTGATGCAGCAAGAGGTTACTCTGCGCCATCTGATCGAGTGTTGCCGCCGGTTGCTGATGCTGTTGTTGCTGCATTAGACTTTCCGCTTGCTGTGAGAATTCATGCATTAATTGCTGCTTTTGATTCTCTGGCAGCTCTTGCAACTGCAAATGCTGTAACTGCTGCGCAGCATCGTGTACGTCTTGCTGTTCTTGCTGCTGTTGTTGCGGCAGCTGGAAAAGCAACTGCAGTGATTGTGCCGATTTGTCAGCGCTCTCCACATTGAACACGTAATTAGCTGCGGCAGCAGCGGCCGCTTGTTGTTGCTGCTGCTGTTGTTGTTGTTGCTGCTGCTGCTGTTGTTGTTGCTTTTGCTGCTGTGGTTGTTGCTGCAGTTGATTTGCCGCACAGGCAGCCAACGCTTTGCGCAAACGCTCACTTGATTGTCGGTCCTGCTGCAATTGTTGGATCATGTGCAACTGGCGCTGCTTCAATTCCTCCTCATCTTCTTGGAGAATTAAGTGTTGCTGGTGTTGTTGCTGCAGTTGTTGCTGCAATTGTTGATGTTGCTGCTGCAGTTGTTGATGTTGTTGCTGAAGTAGGAAATCACCTTGATGTGGCAGTGGCTGTTGCATTTGCTGATGCTGGGCGGCGGCTGCTGCTGCTGCATCGTCAGTTTGTAGCGGCAAAAACGAAAACGTCTGGTGATGTTGATGCTGGTTTGTGCGATTTGAAATTGAATGTACAATAATATTGTTATTTGAGAATAGATTTTTTTTTTTTTTAATTGAGTGGTTTTTTTTTATTATTAAAAGGTTTGACTGAAAGGAATTTAGAAGTTAGGTAAGGCCGAATTGGGATAAGCTCATATATTATATTTAACATGACGCCGTAGAATTGTGTTAAGTTTTTTGGGATTTGAAAAAGGAGGAGCGGCAGAAGGGGCATACCTGCATTTGATCCCCCATTTGCAGCTCGTGCTGGTAATCGAGAAGCATTTGATTTGTTGCCTGACGCTGTTGCTGCTGCTGTTGGTCTTCGGCAGAGAGCAGCGCTGGTGGATGCGTTGCCATCAAGTGATCCTGGCCGGTCCACTTCGGCGTCGGCACCCAGTTGCTGCTAAATCGGTTCTTGCATATTGAATTCAGGTCGCCCAGCTCGGCACAATTATGCAGCTCCTAAATAACAACAACAATGACAAATAATAAACTAAATAACAACAGCAACAGCAACTTTCTATCAGAACCAAAACAGAATTTATTTTCTTAAAAAACAAAAACAAATACTTTATACATATGCTACGATTGTAGTGCAAACTACAATAAAACTGAATAAAAGTCAAGCGATACGAAGAAGAATAATGCAATTTTAAAAAATTAACAGAGGAAATTATTCGGTCAATAAATAAAAATTAATAACTTTTGGAAACAATTATAAAAACGTAAAACACTAATAAAATATACTAGATGGTGAAATAAATTTGATTATAGTCCTTGAACGACTGACTGCAATATTCTACGAAGTTTGAAACAAAAATAATTCATAGAAAGCATGTGTCTTCAATTCCTAGTCTCCCAATGCTTTTTATGTGTGAAATATAGAATTAATGAGAGGAAAGAACTAAGTTCGGTTTGCAGAAAACAGCGATGGGGATGACTGTTAATCTATTTTTAATAGGTACTTCTCGTGAAAAAAAAATTGAAAAATTCCATCCCAGCGATCTTAAAAAAAGTTACTCGTTTCTTTGCGAGTGTGATGGCGCGTTGTCATGATGTAAAAAGTAGCACCGCAAATCCTTTCATCCTGCTTTCCAGCAAATTTTTTAAAACTTTTGGTTTGACCATTTTCCAGGAAAATAGCAGAGTGAAATAAACTGACACCATTATTTTTGCAGCTGATTTTTGTTGCTTAGATATTACGAATGGGTTTGTTTGGTTCCAAGATCGTACTTTTAGAACCAAAATTCGTCACCAGTAACGACCTTGCTAAAATTGCTAGACTGACCATTTTCGAAGTTGTTTGGAAAAAAAAATGAGCAAAATGTACTTGAGCTTCTTTTTGAGGCTCATTTGAAATTCGTAATACCCATCGAGAAGATTTCTTCGTGTATCCAAGATGATTACTTCTCTACGGAAAAAATGTTCGGTCCTGAATCTTCGGAACCACTTAGAAATAGTATTTAGAGTCGGTGCAAGGATTCCATATGCAAGGTGGCATTCACTGAATATTTGTATTGACTATAAATTATGCCGAAACCCGAAGAGAATCACATGGCGAATTTTTGTTTGCGTTGTTGTTTAGGCGATTGTTCTAAAATCTGAAGTGAAGACTAATAAAGAAATTGCAAAGGGTTTCGTATATTTAGATTCAACAAAAACAAAGTGAAAGTCACCAACTAACGGACTTTTGTTAATCCCGTCGTATGCCGAATAGTGGTGCATGAAGATTTGAAAGTTTTACATTTTACAATAAATCAACAATCAGCAGTAAATAGAAATATAATAAAAAAAGTATATATGTAATGCTTTAAACTTCATAGTTACCACAGAGTTTCTAATCTCAATTAAATAAATTCTGTACGACTTTAAGGTAATAAGTGTAAATTAGTGCCCCTTCTAAGATTGCATAACTTTGGGCGCTGGCTAATTGCTTCCGGTTATTTGGGTTGTTGCTTTCTAGCATATATGAATGAACGATTTTGCGCAAAATCAAAAGGAGTCGATTTATGTTAACGGGTTATTATTAAAAACAATATAATAAAAAATTGAATCCCAATATATTTAATTCAAGTGTCTAGGTAATCATGCATTCGATAACGGATTCGGTCAATAATCTTGAATGTGTATGCAACCAAAAAAATTTATTTTAAAAATTTTTATACGCTAACACATGTATGTCTGTATATGTAGAAATTCAGGCCACACTTCCTTCCAACGACTTACCTGTAGCGAAGGGTCATTTTGAAAGATTTGTAAAATATCGTCCATATCGCCGGGAATATCGTTGGAGAACTGGTCAAACGATTCCAGTGTTGGGTACATGCCAGCCGCGGCCATAACACCAGCTGCTGTGGAGCCATCTACATCTAAACAGACAAAAATTAATTGTTTCATACACACAAACATAAAATTGGTTTTAATTTAAAATTTTATGCGCAATAGTTAAAGATTAATTTAATTCCTTACCGTGTCCACCGACCACTTTTACTGCATTGGCAATATCTGCGGCCGCAGCTGCGGCATTAGCAACATCTGCTGCTGCTGCAGCAGCTGCTGCAGTGCATTGCTGCAGAGTGCTGAATGCCGCACTGCCCGTAGCTGTTTTGAAATTTGCCATTGGCGGAAAAACATGCACCAAATCAGTTGGAAAGTCTTGACGAAAATCTATATTCGAAAGTATTATATCCTCAAGCACCTGTGGTCGCCGATGTGCACTCTTCGCTCGTTTCGCATTACTTAATGCCATATCGTCGTCGTCTTCGTCGTCATCATCATCCTCATCATCATCATCCTCTTCTTCGTCCTCTTCTTCTTCACCGCCGATAGCATGCTTACGCATTTCAAGTCCCTCATCATCTTCGTGCAACGCCATAGCTCTGCCCATTTCCTCCTCACAATTTCCTTCCACTTCGCCCTCTAACTCTTCATCATCCCCATCTTCTTCATCATCTTCGAGTACTTCTTCAATGTCATCACCTTCCCCATCAACCTCTCCATCAACATCTCCATCAACATCACCATCACCATCACCATCACCATCACCCTCACCATCCTCATCAACATCAGCCTCTCCGCCTTCATCGTAGTCATGACTCTGTAGCACGTCATGCATTACTCCCGATTGATCTGCCTCCACGATTGCATCTTCATCCTCTTCACCTTCGACATATTCATCCAACTGTAATGTACTCACATCTCCATTGGATTCCATAGGCGACATTGATACATGTTCGAGTAGCATATTCGGTGCCGCAGCTGCTGCAGCGGTTACCAATGTTGCAAGATTTTTCATTTCAGCAACGCTCTCCGTGTCCGGCTCAACATCCAACTCCACTTGCTCCTCTAATACAGCAATACCTTCTTCACTGAAGATTTCCTGTTGTTGTTGCTGTTGTTTATCTGGCAGTGGTGGTGGTGGAGTTTCGGTTGGTGACTTGGGTTGATCATCGAAAAAGCGCGGCATGTCGTATAACTGATAGCGCTCTTTTAAATACTCTTGCTGTTCGGCTGCGCTCATACCACAGACAGTTGCCAAAGCGGCTGCCGCGGCTTCATCGCCTACATTACGTGATTGCATAGCTTGGAAAGCCTGTAATATAGTGGATGTTACTTCTTGCTGCTGCTGCTGCTGCTGCTGCTGCTGCTGCTGCTGCTGCTGCTGCTGCTGTTGGTGTTGGTGATGATCATCCTCGCCGATTATTGGTATATGCTGTTGTTCCTGCAAGTATGATGCTCCTGCTGCATTGGAAGGGGATGCTAGGGGCGATGCTGGAGAGTTGTTTAAAGCAATTGCATTGTCCCCGCCTCCACTCAAGTCTAAACCGCCCAAAATTTGCTGCTGTTGTTGTTGCTGTGCAGCAAATGCCATTTGAGTCATAATAACCTGCTTCGTTTGCAAGCTCGGTTTAATTTCATTGGTGAGCAGTAAGGGCTGCAAAGTGACAAAATTATATAATTGCAACATAAGATTATGTAAATAAACAGATGTATGTACATAAGTATCTAAATATAATATAATGGCACATAATGATGACTAGCAAGCATCTAATATGATTTCTCAATACCCTGTACACTAAGCGAATATTTTATTTCCAATCTTTTTCTCGACAATATATGCACTTACCAATTTATTGTATATAGATACCATCTGATTTTGTTGGAGTACTGGAGATTGTGGAAATACGGCTTTACGGAACTTATTATCCTTCTTCGATACCGGCTTGGCCTTTGGTCGATCACTAATGGCTGTGCTCTGCGAAACTTCTGATGGTGTTGTTATTTGTGTACTTTTCTGATTCAAATTGTTGTTGCCCTTGTTGTTGAAGCTGCGATTATTTTGAAGACTGTTCACAGCCGACATCGCCTCTAAAGCAGCAGCTGCTACGCCACTATTGTTGTATTGTTGAGTGTTTAGCATAGTTTTATTTGGATCTTGTTGCTGTTGAAGCTGATGATGTTGGTGCTGGTGTTGACGCAATTCGGCCGCTGCATCGGCCACAGCGCTGGCGTCTAGCAATTCAATCATCATGTTATCCGAGGGCATATTCAGCATTTGTTGGGATTGATTACCTCCGGCTGCATTGCCAGTTAGGAAAATTGAAGTCATCTCATTGTCGCCCAATGTAATGCCTACACAATTTTATTATGGAATTTGTTGTTAATTATTTCGAAACACTTTTCGAGTATTAGCGAACTTACCGGAGACAGCATTACCAGCCATTGCCTCAACACCTTCGACTCCGGCTAAATTCATGTAACCATCCATAAATCCAGCTTTGTATGCAAGCTAAAAAAACAAAACGAAATAGAGAAGTCAATATTAAAGTATTTTATTAGGAACATGTATGGACGGACCAAATCAGATTACTTAAGGGAAATTAGATTACCTTAGATAACTCTTGTTTGTAAAAGCAGCGACGCCTAAAACAACGATTTTGTTGTTGTCCATCATTACCGTCACCGGAAACGGCAACAACTGAGGCCCCACTACCGTCGTCACCCAACGGTTGTGAACGCACTTCATCCGGTTGTTGCTCTTGTTGTTGTAGTTGTTGCTGTTGCAAATGCTCTAGCTGCTGTTGTTCAAGTGTGATATTAGCCAAACTAGTCGTTGGTAAGTTGAGTTCGAAAGGCGCCGGAGGTTGGCGATTTTTACGCGATGAATTGCCACTTTTCGACTTCATCGTGGGCTGTCCTGAATGCTGCTGCAATTGTGGTTGTAATTGAAATTGTTGTTGTTGTTGTTGTTGCTGCTGTAGGGGTTGTTGAGCACTAGCACCGCCCACTGGAGGCGCTGGAGGCGCCTTCTGTGGTGGTGTAAGCGCATTTATATGCGTCATATCTAAGTCGAATTGCTTGCGCTGTGCATTCATATTGCTGTGAGCAGGCAATGGTGGCTGTTGTTGTTGTTGTTGCTGCTGCTGCTGCTGCTGCTGTTGCGGCTGCGACAGCTGCTGATCACGGCCCAATGTAAGTCCCTGCTCGAAGCCAGTTTGTAAGTGAAAAAGTCGAGACTTGGCAATCAATGCCTCCTGCTGCTGTGCGCTTAGCGAGTTGATATCAATGGCAGCGAATTCTTCACTGCTTGTATCTGCCGATGAGGTGGTCAATGGCAAATGCTCCTCACTATAGGCGACAGCTGTGGTATTGTTGTTATTGTTATTAGTGGTGTTGATGTTGTTGTTAGTACTATTCGTGCCGTTGGTTGTAGTCATAGTATTGGTGCTGAACTGTTGCTGATGAAATTGCTGCTGTTGGTTCGAAACACGCATCGCTTCTGACACTTGCAAGCCGGGTGGAGCGCTCAATTGTTGCAACTGCTGTTTGAATTGCTTCTGTTGCTGCGGACTTATGAACCGCAATTGGCCATTATTCGCGGTGTTGTTGATAGCAACTGCACCGGCACCGGTCGCAGTGGATGGAGTAGCCGCTGCGGCGGCATTAGCGGCGGCAGCTGCAGCGGCCGCTGCCGATTGCAGCTCGTTCTGATGGTTTTGTACGAATAATGGGTATTTGAAAAGCAATTCAACAACACGGGTATGGCCACCCTTGGCAGCCTCAATCAACATTGTACTATTGTCTTTCAGCTTATGGAACGGATCGGCGCCACTCTTTAGCAGTAATTCGACGACGGCCTGATGACCGCCAGCACAAGCCAAGGAAAGTGGTGTGTGATCGTTGCTGCTGCTCGGCTTATTAACATCAGCACCTTTTTGTATGAGAAACTTCACCGTGCAAAGGTGGCCGGCGCGACATGCTTTCATTAGAGGTGTGCGACCTCCCTCGGATTCGTGCTCCAACTCAGCGCCATAACTGAGTAACACCTCTGCTGCATCCGTATGTCCATTTTCACATGCGTGTGTTAGAGCCGTGTCACCTGTCTGGGTTACGGCGTGCACATTAGCCTTATTCTGCAGTAAAAAGCGCACCAAATCTGTATGACCTTCTTGCGCAGCCTCCATAAGCGGTGTGGAAGCTCCGAGTTCCAAGTTGGCGCCTTCTTTTATCAAAAATTCGGCAACCTCACTGAAACCGCCACAACAAGCGAGTGTTAAAGCAGTTTCTTGCGTCTCTTCGGTGGTTGCGTTGATGTCTGCACCTTTACTCAATAGTAGTGCGACCATCTCTTCGTGTCCTTCACGTGCAGCCTCCATAAGTGGTGTATAGCCTTCATCGTTGACCTCTTCAATATTTGCGCCACGTTCAATCAGTAAAGTCGCCAATTCGACGTGACCACCGCATGCAGCTAAAGTAAGTGGCGACTCAAACGAATCGGTCGGCATATTCACTTGTGCACCCGAATCCAATAACAGGCGCGCCACTTCGACATGACCATCCATAGATGCTTCCATTAGAGCGGTGTGCATTTCGTCGGTCTTGTGCTCCTGATCTGCGCCTGCTTGTAGTAGGAAACGCACCATGCTAAGGTGACCCTTGTAACAAGCCAGCGTTAATGCGCTCTCCTTGAATTCATTTGAGTGCGTATTAATACCAGCACCATGTTCCAAAAGAACCTAAAAATATATTTACAACGATTTATAGGGTTCGTATAAAATAGATTGTAATTATATTATATTGTGAATATAAACTAATGAATGCATCAAATAAGATCAAAATAGTTCATTGACTACCTCTACACCGAACACACATCACTATTTTAATTAGTAACTCAATCAAAAAAAAGTGACCACGAGATCAGTGATGAGGCGTTTTTAACTTGTCTCAAATCTCGGATTATTATCATTTGCGCACTCGCCACGTGTTATCAAAAATACAATATGATATTGCCTACCTTCGCCACTTCAACGTGACCAGCTGATGCAGCTTCCATTAGTGGTGTATGTCCGTTTTCGTTCTGTTCTTCCACGTTGGCGCCATGCTTTAGTAACTCCTTTACCACCTCTACATGACCGCCGGCACAAGCGAACATCAAAGGTGTATTGCCAGTGGCACAATGGGCATTTACATCGGCATTGTGACTCAGCAGTAGTTTGACGATGTCCAAATGGCCAGCAGAGGCAGCCTCCATTAAGGGTGTACAATCCTTCTGGCCCTTGTCTTCCACTTGCGCTGCCTGCATGGCAAGCAGGACTTGCGCTAGTTCATAGTAACCAGCTGAGCAAGCCATAGACAACAAGGATTCGCCATCATCAGTGGATTCGCTGAGGTTCACATTGCTTTTGCTTAGCAAACGGCGTACCGTGGGCACGTCATTATCAGTACAGGCAGCAATTAGGGTTTGAGAGAAAATTCTATGTGAAAGAAAATAAATAATAATTTAAATATATATTTTTTCACCTCCTCTACGACAAAAGTTCGTTACATACGTTTTGTCTCGCGGCGTAGTGGCGCCTCGCATTTTTGTCAGAGCCTGTTTAGTCTCATCAATTGCGTGGGTGGCGTGGCGTAACACTGGCGGCTTCTCATCTGAAATTTTACAATTACAATATTTATATAAACTTTTCTTAGTCATCAACTATACAAATTTTTTATTTCTGCACTAACCTTCAAACATACCGCCGCAACGCTCGTTAGTCTGTTCTAGTAAAAAGTTTCCGCCAACTTCATTTGGATCCTGAAGTTCTTCGTCTTCATCCTCCTCTTCCTCCTCAGAACCAACTGAGAAATTTCCACTCACTTCATTTGGCGGATCCTCGTCTTCCTCATCTTCGTCGTCGATCTCTTCCTCATCGTCTTCCTCATCCTCGTTATCCTCCTCAGATTCATTATCCTCTTCATGCCCGCAACTATCGGCATCCGATTCGGGGATGTCATCCTTTAAAAAAAAAGAGTGGAAGTGTACATACATTTAATTATTTATTGAAATTCCCAATCAGAATAGTGGTTTATGTAAGTATTTTAATTGCGGATTTATGCTCGCATCATGAATAAATATAGAAAAATTATTGTTTATGTTTAGTTATGTAAAAAATGGCGTAAAATGCAAGCAAGGAAGAGTCATTATCTCGATTAGCGTAGGGGTTAACAAACAATAAATTCATGATGCACAGATATATATACATATGTAGCTGACGCACGCATTCTTGTGTCTTCGGCCATCAATATGACAATCTTCTGGGAGTTATTCCCGTTGATCTCCACTGTTAATGTTCGTATTTGACCTGAAGCCTTATTTGTTTATCATTATTGCTATTCGCATTCACCCAAAAATAGGCAACTCAATTGTCATTTCAAATATATTTGCATATATGTAGATAAATGGTTGTATATATGTATGTAGTTATGTTAATCAAGTGCTTAGTTTGTAATGCGTATAAGTATAATAATAGAACCGATTAATATACCAAGGCGATTTAGTTATTATTAAGCGGCGTTGTTATGCATTCATAGAAATGGTCGACGAAGCAAAACCATTTCATAAATTGGAAAGTCGTTCATATTTTTTTTTGCATTTTTTTTTTTCTGTGGCATTGGTTGGTTTATGTTAAGAAATTATTGCAGAAAAACGCGAAACTTACCAGAAGATCTGGCCTTAGACACAAGCATGCCAAAAGGATCTACAAAAGAAGAACGAAATGAAAAAATAAAATCAAAAGAAACAAATGAGTGGATGAATTATGCAAAACGACTAAAGAGAGGATGTGGTGGTGATGTACAACAGTGTACCGCGACGAAGAAATAAACAGGTTTGAACTGGCAGTGTAGGAAATGATGTAGTCGCGTAGTAATGAATATACATATGTACATATGTATGACAAAGTTTTTAAATTAAAATTTCAACCTAAAGTGCTAAATATCTTAACAAAAACAAAGAGAGTTATACCAATTAGTATGTATGTATGCAGGTACTTAATCCAAAACGTCTTACTTTCATTCATGTAGCAAATGTAACCGATTCAGGGCCATGAAATCCGGAAAAAGCGATATTTTTTTATTACACTCGATCGAGTTCTACGAGTAGTACGAGTGAAGATCTTTTATATCCGGAAAACTTGATCTTTTTTCAATATATATATATTCAATGTAAAGGTTTATCGTTACTTAAAAATATATGTATAATCTTCCAACAAATTCTATACTAATTTTTATATTTCACATATTTCCCAATTTTTATTTAATTTTACATTTACTTTTGTAATTTTATTAGTTGTTATTTTTTTCGGATTAAAAGCACGGTTAACGTCCTAATACCAAACTATTTTGAGCCTGAAAGAACACACTGATTTACTTCTATGTCCACTCCCAATTTTACGCGGTCCACCATTTTAAGTACTTCGTGCACTAACTATATTTGAGCACATAGACAACAAACAGAATTATACGAAGGCAATCAGCAGTTACGGCTACAGCGTAAATTATAAATTACACTGCGAAAAATTAGATACACAATGTCATTCATAGAACAACGTGACCAACCTAAACGAAATGCAGCAGGACCGTTTCACAATAGGAACAGCAACGGCAACGCCGACGCTAATGCCGACAGCAGGCACGGTTGTCAGTCGATGACAGCAACAATAGCAAAAACAATAAAAAAAAAATTAAAAAAAATGCTTCCGACAACTACAGCCGCAAAGCCGACACATTTATTTATTTTATTTCACTATGGAGCGGAATTGATTGAAAATGGAATGAAATGAGTTTTGCAGCTATTATTGGTCTACACTTTATGCACTTGATTCTCTGCCAATTTCTCTTTCAGCTGGTTCTTTTGGCAGCATTCGTTTTATATCTACGAATTCTTTATTTACCATCTTTGCTTCGCATATTTGACATTCATTCACACTTTCATTTCACATTTCTCACATTCGTTACCGTCATGCAACGAAAGCAAAAAAAAAAAATTAATAGAAAGTATTTAAAAATTAAATACTGAAAGAAGTAAATAAATAAATGAGACTGAAAGAAAAGGAAAAAATTATGAATTCAAATAATATCCATTCATTCGTCTTCTTTCGGTTATTCGTTTATTTTAGGGGTTCGTTGGTCTGCCTGACGGCCGCTGATGTCTGACAGCTTGTTTGTTTGTTGGTCATTGTCAGATGCTTTGAGAATTTAAAGAATTGTACACGTATGAATCATCGTCACAGAAATTAAGGCGAAGCTCAATATGCTGTCCGCTTGCTCAAATATAATTTTTCAAACTCCATTCTTTGAGCAGAAATGTGGGCAAATTTCAACCAATTTGTTCGTAAGTAGGAATGTATTCATGTATGTATATTGAGTTATGTTATTGTTGATACTTACGACCCTATAAAACATTTATTCATTTGTAATTGTAGCTATGTATTTAAGTATGTATGTAAATACATATGCTCATTGGCCATTGTATGTAGTATGTATGTTTGTATTTATGTATAGTAATTGTTGGCACTTTGCACGTTTTCTGGTATTTAACCTTCAAGCTAAAGAAAAAATCAATTTCCAACGAAATTTCACTATAAAATTCGAACTTGCCGAATGGGAGTGCGTTTACCTAACTTTCTGTTTACTAATTTGCATATTCGCTTAGACAAATTTTCTTCGGCTTGGTAGGCAGTTCAATCTATATATATTATATTTATGGACGTGTAAATGTTACTGAAAAATTATATACAAACTTTCAAATAAATTGCACTAATTTACACAACTCTGTTCTCAAAAAAACTTTACAACTTTGAGAAGAATACTCATTGCAAAAGCTTTATACGAGAGTACATTAGGCTGGTCAATTTAGACGAAGGTAGTCCAAAATACTAAATCTAGAAAGGCCACATCGATCCGACACCTTGGAAAAGAATTAGACGAGGTTAAGTGTCACAAAAACGCGATGTCAGGGAAATGGTAAGTTGTATTATAAAATTATTATAAATAAAAATTTGTAGATTAGATTATTATCTATAAAAATGTGGAATGACTGACGAAGCAATGCAACAGCTTTTCGATGCTTGTGAATTCTGTGTATATCGTTTTGGAAACCCAACAAAAAAAAACATTTTCCTAAAATGCAAGTAATGAAAATGATGCAAAATTGTATTAGACAACGTAATGTAATGATGATTGTTTCGGATATGGGTGGCAGATCGATGTTGGCATTTTAGATTTTAATTATGATAATATATTGAGCCATAAAAGATTTCTGTCCCTTTTTCTTGTTTATTTTGACTGGGTCACATAAATTAAATCCGAAAGAAGCTCATATTTTATATTGAATTTATTTGTTTTTATACATAAATATATATATATGTATGGTCAATTAAAACCCTCTCATCTAACACCCCTTCGTCTCTGTTCCAAATCAGTTGGGACAGCTCGTTCCTGGGGCGGCCTCAAGTTCATTGGCCTCCACCACATTGAAAAACTTTGCCAACTGCTAAGCTAGCTTACCGAACCGCTGCAACAACAATTAACGAAAAAAACACAATGGAAATCAAACAAACAAAAAATATCTGACTCTGAAATAAACTAAATATTATATATGTATGTAAAAAAGAGAAGTAGCACACATAGTAGTGTTAAATAACCTATTTGAGTACAAGCATATATATACATACCTATGTATGTAACTATAAAAATTATTAAGCTTGAATTTTGAATAAAAACCAATTTCAAAACAGTAAGAAATGTTGTTCTTAAATGGCCTCAATATTTTGTATCTAATAGTACATATGTATTTCCAAGTTTATTTTTTAAAACTTAAGTTCAACTTCAAATATTTTCAAATTCGCATGCTGAACGTGTGTGTGAACCTACAAAACTGATTGAAACAACAAATTATAAATACAAGCGAACGTACGACACAGCGACCATCTGACTTCGAAGTCGACACGAAACGAAAATCGGCTAACATCAACATCGCACAAGTGCTACAATGTTCAGTTCTTTTGTTCGCGGCACAGTAGGGGAATTCAGTCTCTCAATGGAGGGATTTAAATGAGAAAACTGTTGAGCAACGTGGTTTTGGCTTGCAGCAGTAACAACAATGTGAAGGAAACGACAGCTTTGCTGTGCTATTGCAATGCACCTTCAGGAAAGAATACGTCGTACGTGTGATCTCGTCTTTGTTCAGATTATCAAAATTAATATCTCCATAGATTTATAACCTAAAATTGTGGGAACATACAGACATATGTATGTATGACATGATTATTAATAGCAAGTGTTATTTTTCTTAATTGCTTTTGTTGCGATTTTCCTGCATATTTTCATTTGCATTTTGCATAATTTTATTGAAAACTAATTTTTTTCGCTGGTACGGTAAATACTTGAAAAGTCATTATTTTTCTCAAACATTTGTAGAAATTATAAAATTTTTTTTAAATATTCAATTAATATAAATCATCATCTCGAAATTTCTCTGTATGTAAACAAAATATACGTACCGTACCTACGAGTGAATCTATAAAAACGATATTATATTGCAGACTCGAGTAGACGGCGACAAAAAAAAAATGACTGCGACGATGGCACTACATACATACATATGTACGTTCATAAAATCATATATTGGAGAGATACTATGTACATATAAACACACATCAACATTATATTTTTGTATTTTCAATTCCGATCTAACAATGAAACTGTCAACGATAGCTTAAATAACAATACTTGAAATACGCTTTGGTGGAAAGGCAACAAATTAGACCAAGAAATATCGCGATTAATAAATATGATTATGGGAATGTAATGATAACAACTGAATGAAATGATCAACAGCGGCAAAGAAGGGCGTATAGGCAAATCAAATCAATACATACAAACCATTCACAATACTTATACATACATCTATATATAGATGTTGATATATATATATATATGTATATATATGTACATATGCAATTATTATGTACATGCTACATATATCTATATATATATAGATATGTACATACATATTTATGCTTGTTAATTGAAATATATTTGCATATGTACATATTACTACCACGGATGTAGTCATGTATTATTGTTATTATTATTATGTATATACATTTCAGCAGCAAAAATACCAGCCGAAACACGCGTACTATGATTGTCTTAAAAAAAAAAATGTACTGAAAAATATGTACATATTATTATTTAAAATAGCATGTCTCAATACCACTGTTGATTATGGTACTTGAAAAGTTACATATGTATGTATGTACACCCACAAACACACTAGCAGTGCCTCATTCAGGTACTGAAATATGCACCCAATAGCAGGCGCACACGCTCTGCCAAAGATGAGTAATATGTTGGCGGTGGCGACGGTAATGTTGAAAGTAAAAGAAGCAAAAATCGATTTATGGAATCGCCTATGTTAAGGGACAAAAGGTGATCTACATATGTTCACATGTATGTATACATCTATGTATATAAGTAAAATAAAGAACAAAGAGCACATTGCACATGTTTTGTCTTTCGATTTTTACTTCCAACTATACATACATATATATATGTACTTTATGAATAAAATATTTATTAATACAACCTTTAAAAACTTTTTTTTTTTTAATTTTGCAAAAACAAAAAAAACGATTAACTCTTCATTGCAAGGGAATAAAGTACTAATCGTACTTTAGAATGTTGATAATTGTTTAACGTTCGTTTTGAAAGTTGTGTATGTATTCAAATTTTGTTTGGAACATAACAAATTGTCAATTTAAATTTTTATTAAAAAAAAATTTCAATTCATATTCGTAATGTGTGTCTTCCACATCGATTGCAGATTGAGGAGCAAAGTTGAATGACAATGATTTCACTTCAAAAACTTATAATATTAACTTACCGATTCTGAAACTGATTCTTCATCTGATTCAGACAGATCTGGCGGTTGACGAGATAGTTCTGTATCCGTATCCGAGTTTTCGCTAGGTCGCTTCTGACGTGTGCCAGATGAGGCTAACGACAAATTGGACGATGTTGACGATGAGGCGGAACGAGAATTGCCAGCTACGACGATGGGTATACCAACTGCTGCCGCAGCATCGGCCGCTGAAGCTTTCAGTTTTTGCTTAATAGCAGCTACTGCTCCAACACGTGAAGATGCGCCGGTATTGTTATTGCTGGTATTTCCGCTTGCGCCATTATTGGTACTATTACTTTTTGTGGAAGCTGCGACGTTTTGCGATGAGTTCACTAGTAATGAAAGTGGGTTTGTTTTTATTTGGTAAATTTTTGATTTCGCCGATGCAGTTGTGGCTACAGCGGCGTTTGATGCATTGTTTGGGGATTTTTTATTTGTTGTTCCAAATGCCTTACCGTTGCCATTACCGCCGGCTGGATTAAATGACGTTGTTGAAGTTGTATTGGCAGGTGAATTCGAAACAATTGCAGGAATAGTTGACGCTGTGGAGGTGATGGTGGTGTTATTATTACAAGATCCTAAACCGCATTCAGTACCAATTCCCGTACTTGTGTTAGTTGATGTTGGAACAGTCGTTGAGCCACTGACACAATCGGCCGCTATGGCGCTTATATTGGTATTGGCACTGGAGGCTGCAACTTTGGCGGCTGCGATTTTAGACATTTTACTGCTGGTGCTTGTAAGGGTATTGATATTACTTTTATTACCATTAACGGCAACGGCTGCGGGAACTGCGGAAGCAGAAATATGATTATTGTTGTTATTGTTTACAATTAATTTGTTTTTATTGATTTTACTGTTATTATTGTTGGTAGCCGCTTTGCTGCCTGCTTCGGTGACAACTGCAGTTATATTTTCGCTACCAATGTCAGTATTGATAGTGTTGGGGATCAAGACTTTATTGTTTCCAACACCTTGTTTTGTTGCATTCCTCGATAATTTTTTTAAGTTGCAATTACTAGTGTTTGAAGAAATGTTGTTGGATGTATTAGTACCAGATGTTACAGCTGCTGCTATGGCTGCTAATTTTAGGTTGTTATTGTTATTGCTTTTGTTGCCGTTGTTGTTATTGTTAGCTGCTTTTTTTATTGATTGCAGGTTCGCTGACTGCTTCAATTTGGTTGTCGTCGACTTTTGTGCTTTAATTGCTGAAGCCACTGTAACTGCCGATGTCGATGCGGTTGCTGTTGTATTATTTTTCTTAGACACTGACGTTTGTGCCTTTGTTGTTTTTGTAGCAGCAGAACACACACTTAAGTCGTTACTTTTATCATCATTATTCATCTTCTACCGTTTTCTTCAATTTTTCACTACACTATACGTATAACCGTGAATACAATTTATTTCAATTTCACTTTGTTCTGTTATGATTTAACCCTTTTTATAATTCGTATTAGACCAGATTGTTCCACTTAGAACTACTTATTAAAAGTTTTCTGATGACACACAAGAAGTAATTATTTATTTATTAAAATTAATTTTATACCACTACACTAATATGAAATACGTACTTTGTGCTGTAGAAAACAAGGTAATGGGATAGAAAGAAACCAGAGTAGAGCGACATTTGGTCGGCTTATTCCATTCGTTATATTTGCTCCTCATATTCTTGCCCTAAACGTGTTTGTAGTGTTACCATGTTCGCAAAAATAACAAACAAAATAAATTGAATAATGAATGCAACTCTGTCGTCTAATAAAAGAATTTTAATAAACTCCCTCAATATCGCCGGTTTTCCTTAATGTGCTAAAACTTAATTACTTACTACCTATCAGACAAACTATTTATCAGATTTATGATCACATTTTTCTTACATGCAATCACTTTTACACAGTTTTAGGTCCAATAATCAAGTTTTGCATTGAGCAAGTATTAATGGGTTTCAATTCAGTGGCAGCACTCATAATCTTCGCCATTTCGTCAATTCCTCATTTTCCCTTTTGCAGACTATTCGATCTTGCGTCTTGCACTTTTCAAATTTTCCGTTTTTCCCGACTATCCTCTAAATGGCGAATATTCGTTTTCGCAAAAGAAATGCCTCGAAGTTCCAAAGCCAACCAAAAGAAAAAAAAAAACATAAATGAACTCACACCTTCCCTACTTTGTACTAAGGGTGCTTATAAAGAATGCGATACTTTTAGATATCTAATAAAAGTTTGTTACACCTCCAATGTGATTTGTACACTTGTCTTTGGATATTTAATATTAATTGTATTTTAAGCAAAAAATTTTGGACTTTAGCTCTGCTAATTGTGGATATAAGTATGAGTTCGCTCGTTCATCTGTCAACTATTACTACACACCAGAGACTGATTAATAACCACATGAAGAAGACAATGCATTTATGGAATGGTTTTATAACTAGATATATGCTTGATTTTCTTTCATCTATTAAAGGATATTAAGCATATATTTCCGATATACCCATATGTGCAAATTTTCATTTAATTCGCTTTACAACAAAAATTTATTTCAATAAAACATTATCTAACAAAATTTGAATTATAGAAGATATTAAATACTTCCAACTATATTTTACAACACGACCGACCAATGATCAAACAGCCGAACGGACGAGCATAGGCACCTACCGACCGAACGAATCACACTTTTCGAGACTTCTCGGAAGCAAAACACAAAGCACAAGTCAGAGAAAAAATGGTCACAAAGTAGAAAACGAACAGCCAGCGGAGCCGCACTCACACGACTCACTCATGGCTCCACATACATATACTCATGCACATGCACACGTATTTCACATAAGCCAAGTGTGTAATGAAAATTTTTCTTGTGAAAGGCAAACTTTTCAAACGCAATTTTATATTTATATCTTTGATTTACCGCACATAAATTATGATCAAATAACACTCTTACACTTTTATTGTACTTTTTCAATAGTTTTATGATTTACCGTTGCGATTTTCTAGCAATTTTTAGCAATTTTCCGCTGCAGCGATATCGTTTTCGGTATCGTTCCGTCACGAACGAACGACAGGCACGAGGAACCACTCGCCCGTTTAACTCGAAGAAGAACAAGCAGAAAGTAACGAGAACATGCCATTGCCATATGTACCAATTTCTTTACCATTCTTCATGCCAAGGAATACATTTTAATTATTAAAAAATTATCCAAAATTATATAGAAATAATTTTTCTAATTGTGCTCGACGGGGTATGTCAAGCCCTCCAAATGTAATTCTGACATGAAATCGAAAGCGCCTCATCGAAATCCATCGGCTATTCGGAGGTGACTCAGTATAAACTGCAGTTACCTCCATATTGTTGGAAAAATAATATGACACGTACAACAAATTGGATCGCTTCAGCGGTTACAAATTTTCATTTTCAATCTATATTTAAATGTACAATTGCAGTACCATCACAATTTTGATCTGAAAATAAATTATGAAAGAATTTTTTTGACTTTTATCTTCGATTTGTAACCACTGCCGAGCTTCTACTCCAATTGGTGGTCTGAGTCTTAATTTAATATCCAACAAATGGAGGACGAATAGATTAATCAATAAATTAACTAAGCTTTTTATTTAGATCATAGAATATTTGAATGCTGATGGGATCAGAATTCCTTCTCGGTAGTAAGCCGAGATAGAAAATGTAGACTCTTAGTTATGCTCTGATGTGTAGATGCAGACAGCTGTGCCATCTCTGGTGTTTTGCAAAAGTTGACGGGAGAACCAAATGTCAAAGTAGACAGTTGGATTCAAAGCAATTCTGGAATAAACAAAGTTCTTCTTTCCGAAATGGGTTAGAAATCAAATATTTTATTTATATGAAATTTTTCTCAGACAATAAATTTTAATTTTAGATGAAAGATTACAGCAAATTTTCCACTTGCGTCCATTACAGGAAGAAACTATTGCTTATCGCAACAATGTGAAACTTTACCGCACACTTATGAAGCAGACATGCAAAGCGGAACTTCAAAATCTTGTAATTAAAATTTAATCTGTATTTATAAATTATAATTAATTTTTTTTTCTTAATTAGGTAAATGTGGATATGAATATTGTGGAAACTGAATTAAAAATACCCGATCCTAAACTAATACCACCAGTTATTGTAAATAACAATGATTTAACACCCAAAGTAAGCGATAATACTTTCATTCAAATATATGTATATTTTATGGTTTTATGTATATAGATAGATTCGCTAATAGAAGAAGTAAAGATGACATCTATTGGAATGAAACTACTTTAGTTATAAAACTATATTTATGACAATCGGCCAGTTTTTCGCAGAATTTTATTAAGATACTTGTAAGTCATTTGCAAGCACTCGAACGATGGATGTAATTTCTGAAATGAGATATAAATAATTCACATATATTCATATATAGTAAAAATACTTGTGTATTTACTTAACTTACATTAAAAAGGGGAATTATTGGTCTCTTTTGAAAAAGCTGCCCTTGTGTTCGAATTATTAGTATATAATGTACATCCAACTATAAAAGAAATCTTAATTAACTTCTAACAATTGAATGAAAATGAAGTTGGGCATACATCTTCAATAACCTCGTTGATAACAATATCATAAATATTGTTAGCAGGAATAAATATGTTTGAGGTTCGAGAAAAAATCCGCACTGTATGGCACTGCAGAGCCAAATCCAAACAAAATATAATTCTCTCTGAAAATACGGTAACTTAACTCAATGCATCACATATTTATATAATATTTTCAAAAAAATTACCACTCTTGATTAATGACAACAAGTTTAAAATTCGGTAAAGTAACCACAAGAGACAGGAAACGCCGCACAATATTAGTCCTTTTGAAAGGAGTAAACTTTTTGGTACCGAAGTGATACAAGCTAAATATAAAGTTGCTAGTATGCATATGTGTTTAATTTTCTGCCATTTTTGCGTGTTATATCTTAGATTTGTCAGCTCAAGTTCTATTGAATCTTTGCCATATTCATGCAAGGTAAGCTGAAGATCCGGTGATTTGTTACCACTATACTGGTGGCCCAAACTGTGATATACATAAACTTGCGTAGTGCAGTCCGTGGTCGTTGTCATTGCAATATTTAATTGAGTTTATGTTTTATATTCATCTATGTTTGCAATAATGGGTGAGTGAACTTATGTAAAATTTTGTTTAACACTTCAGACACTATTCCAGAGAACTTAGAATAGTTGTTACACGATTTCTGGTTGTACTAAAAATTTACATTTATTCTACATTCTCTGACTATTCCAACAGCCATAATGTCAAAAATGTATTGACGTTTTTCCTCATTTTTCATTCGTTTACAAACGATGAATTGGGTAAGTATTTCGGAAAAATCTTTTCAATATTTTTTACAACTGCATAATTAAATAGTAAATATTGAAGTTGATTTACGTGGACAGTGATTATTGCATAATTGATATAATCATCAGATTTATTACGGAATTATATATTGTTAATTAAGTGCGCGTTGTGAGTACACTATATACATATATATAAGTAAATAATATTTCACCAAATTCAACTATTCTTCAATCTGCTTCATTTACAATCCTTCTTGTTTATCTTGTTGTCCGTTTCAATGTCATTGGTCTTTCACGCACACGAATATTCGTAAATATTGACGAAAGAAAAAGATAAAAACGTTGTATCAGAGAATGTACAATATTTGTTATACGATCTCAGGTTGATGGGGGATAAAATAATATTCAATTTATTTGTCAAAAAAAATTTATTTGTGACAAGTTTACTATTCAGAGAACGTATAACATGTTATACGTTCTCTGTACTATTTCATTAAATTTTCATTCACACAGAGATCGTAAATACTGAGAGAGAAGTAAAAATTGTTAATTTGTGTAAGTTTACCATCAAGAGCGCCATCTTGCGGCAAGTTATGTGATGTAACTCATTCGAAGCCCACGATTATTTTCAAAGTCAAGAGAAATCAAACTCAATTAACATTTTCATTTTCATTTGCAAATATTTCCCTATTTATAATGTACGCCTTAAGAAATTGCGGCAATAATCACATGTGCTAAATTATTTAAAAAATAATTTGTTTATACTTGAATACAACCATGCGTTTTGCGCCGCCATTTTTGAATGTTGAATATGGAACACACAAACACACACTTCGGTCGATCGGAACAGTTGGAATTGAAGCGAGTAAAATTTTAGCGACCGATGAGACGACGACGGCTCGATTTTAAAAGCTGCGAATTTGATGTGATTTTGTAAATTGTGAAGGCTAAAAAATAAAGAAAAAGTCGCTATTTATTTGACAAATCGTAAGCGCGTGTGATTCAATAAGAAATATGCGAAAACGCAAGTTAAAGTGCTGAACGGACAAATTGAAAATTTCTTGGAGTCAGACGAGCATTAATTACGAATAAAAATTTATATATATATAAACTGAATTGAATCAGAAAGGAATGAAAAAGTGAAATAGTGTGGCCAGCGCGAAAAACGTGAATATATACTAGCTATTGCATATATAGCAAAGAACCTCAAGACAATAGCTGTGTGGAGATTTTAAGATTTGGCCGATTTGGATTAATTGTGGTAGTTGCGAGTACGAAATACAATAATATATTATTTTAGTTATGATATACCTGGAATATAAAAACACATATTTTTTCTCACAATTGAGATTAATACTTGAATTGTGATGTGGGGTGGCGTTGAAATGAATATGTACCATTATGGAGACGCGGTATGAAGTGTTCTGGGCAATGTGAAATTGTATGCAGAAGTAAAACCGCCCGCTACTTCGGCATTATTTGCCCAAAACGCCATAACATGTAGCGCCCACCTTAAGCTGTTTTTTTTTTTTTTTTACTTGTTTTGAGGTGTTTCTTTCGTGTGTGTACAACACGGTAGCGCGACCCAACTGCAGCAGTTTTTATGGCTCGTCGGACAAAGTCACCTATTAAACAACATTGCTTCTTTTTTACTTCCCTTCGACAACAACCCCAACTTATTTAAAATTATTTTGATTGTTTAATTTTTTACTATTCCCTCACTAAACGTGCAAGTGAATATTATTTTCATGAATTATATGTATATTTGTTTTTAAAACAAAACTCATAGTCAAATTAAAAAAAAAAAAAAAACTTAAGGTACATGCTAACTTTTTGCCTAAAAATTAGTGTTTTACACTGTTTTTCGTTAGATTTCCATGGATTTGCTCTTTATTTTTATCATCACTTTCAACTTTTTCTTTTAAAATCTATTTTGTGTTAGCGCAGCTATTTTTGCTTGTATAATACTTCGTGGTGAAATTTCTTGTGCCGCTTGCTAATGTGGTGGGTTAATCCATATAGCGTGTGTGTATCTATTATTTTGTTAATTATTCTCGCTGGATTTTTGTCTCGCTTTTCACATACAAATTTTGGGTGCAAATAACAATGAAGATATTTAGTGTTATGAAAAAATTCAATTAACCAAAAAAAAGTAAAGCATGAAAGAAGTAAAGTAACCTTCTTATCACTTGAATATATATTCAATATGCAGGTGGGACTACAAATCACTGCCAGATTAGCTTCACGGTTGCTCTAAAACTTCGTTTCGTTTATGATACTAAATATTTACGTGTGTGCAAACGCTTTCACTATTCCACTAAAATTTCAATTTAAAAAAAAAAAGTTTTTCCTTTTCAAATCGATCAATTAAAACTCATATTTGGATTTTTTCCGGACAACTTCTGTCTTGCAGTCTTCTCATGAAACCAGTTCGGATTGCTACGAATCCACCGAAAGCAGCGGAGTCTTCTACTTTTTCCCAACTTTATTATTTTGCGGGTAACGTGAGATACAATGAAGATTTACTTTTGTGTACTAATATAGGTATAAGTCGTTGAAGCTGCTCTTCAGGAGGCGAACGGAATTAGACTTAACTAGTCAATTTGAGTGAATACATTGTTTAGACTCCGCGAAACTTTCATGTATACACATACATATATATTTAGTGTCAAAACCTACCATAATGGTATGCTAAAATAAATAGAATATGTCTTTCAACGTATGAAAGCTAGTTTGAGGAATATTTTCTCCCTAGCTCGGTGGAACTTAAGTAATTTTATTACATTCAGATATATATACAGATTCCCCTCGTATATAGATGTTTTTTGGGACCACTTTGATAGAATACCACAAACACGACCGGACAACGAATGAATCTTTTACGTATACTCGCATGAATGAAGCGAAAAATATGCAAGTAAGATTGCACGGTTGTAAATATATGTATATATATGTATGTAGTATATACATGAGTTTTTTTTATATTATGTGAATTATATTCATATGTATGTATTTGTGTGCGAATTACCGGCATTGTTTCCAAACAGGTTTGTGTTTAAGTTTAAACTTGGTGTGCTTTCGCAGCATATTTTCGAGCAAAATAGTTTCAACATCGAATTCTTTTTCCTTTCTTAATATACAATGATCGGAAGTAAATATTTTACTTATTCAAATACGCTTCGGATTGGCACAATCTATAACTTCCAATAAGTGTTCAGCTGATAAGTTGCTGACACTATCTTCAATGGTGACCGTCGCAAGGTCTACTATGAAAGTTGTATGATAGACGTTCATTGGGCACATATAAGTTTTACGTGTGCACACACACATCCGCCATAATATTTTGTTTAGCAAAATGTTTGTTTGTTTTTATTTTGTTAGTATTTTGCTCGTATATTCGTTGCCGAGTCGTCGTCGTGCTTTGCACACATTTTTCGCTAAACTCGGTTGTATACATATTGGTTCGTTGTTGGGTCGTGTTGAGTGCGCCATACCTTTTAATGTATCGATGAAATATATACATATACATATTTATTTTATAATTGCTATGCAATTTCCTCTGACTCCATAAAGTTTACATTGAACGAGTCCTTGAAACCTTGGCCCCTGCTTGTATAAAAACTCCATGAGACCAAGGATTCTTGAATTTTAAAGCGTAGACCCCTGGAAAAATTTTATATTAGATACCTAGATCTTTTGTATTTCTTGCTGTAACCGCAATATATTCTCCAATTTGGTTTAAGTGAATTTTTTTGGGTAGTGATATTACTTAGCCGGAGGTTGATATCGTACCAATTGCTTGTATAGTAAACTCCTTTACCATATTGAGTCAGCTTATATTTCGTTAACGATCAAAGGTATTTCATGTGTCTTGTTGGCTGTTTTTCTTAAGGTAGAGTAGGAATATAAATATATGGGCTTTCATATATACATACGTATATATGTATGTGCATTTGCGCGCAACATTTTTTTAGTAATAGTTGGGATTGAAAAACGCTGGAGCTGATATCACACAAGTTTCACGTCCTTTGTTTCTGGGGACAACTAAGATGCAAATGTATGCACTTACCAAAGGCTTTAAAAAGTTTTTTTTTTTTTGTTTTCGATGAACGAGGTCGTGCGTATTAATATACATACACAAATATTTACATATTCTTATGAAACTTTGTGGATCTTTAAATGTGGATAAGTGTTACTCATACTATTATTGCAGTATTTCGTTTACGCTCATGCACATATCCATCTATATCTTAATACCAATTCGAGTATTTGCCTGTAACTATGTTTTCGGCTACACAACATTTCGCTTACTTAGCGAGATTCTCACATCAGTTTTCCTCTTCATTAATTTCGTTTTCGACCTTTTCATTAATATACCAAGTTAAACTTACAAGGCAAAATAAAACAAAACTAATTTAAACCGTTTGAAGTTGAAATACGGAGCAACAGTCACGCATATAGAAATAAACATATATATGTATGTGTAAATATTGACCACAAAAAAATCAATTCGAAGAAGAAACTATGCATATGATGACGCGTTGTTTATTTACTTTCACAATTTCATTCATTCATTGATTCAGTACACATACATACATATGTATATATGTTTGAATGCATATTTATAACACTCTACATATATACATATGTTTACCTATAATGGCATCGATGTGTGTTTGTTGGTGCCAAGTATTGTGCACTGTTTAGCGCCATCACGTAATGAGTGTTTTGACCTTTCTACGTCGGAAGCGTCATAAATGGCCAAGTAGATGGCGAATTCGTAATAATAAATTCGATAAAATCAACTTGCCTCGTCTATTAAGAGAAGTTAAAATATAATTTAAATTCGAAAATCATGTGGAAAACTTACATATGTACATATGTATGTTTTAAAAGAAGGTTTCGATTTTATTTTCTTCATAACGTTGATTACGAAGCAATTAAAAAGCGGTGAGTATGTAGCTTATCTTGCGAAGTGCAGTTATCATTTAGATCATCAAGGTTAATTAAAAGAGCTTTTGTGAATGGGTTATGGAGCAAAATTCCAGGACCGCAACAAAATCCTCACAGGGCTAGACGCCAGTTAAAGAAATTTTGATACCGTAGAAAGCACCCCGACAGACATCTACAAGAGGCCGAACCTCAACCCAGGCACTTCTGAAAGGGAGTACTAGACTTAAAGGCCTCAATTCAGCTGAGTTCAGTGGGCGATAATCCAGCAACGTAGCAAAAACCGCTGGACGCCCATTCACCAAGAGCTAGTCAAAAGGCAGTCAAGTCGAGTTGCGCAACATATGTCTGGATATTGCAGCAGGTTAAACTCCTACCTATCCAAATGCGACCCCGTCATACCTAACGTGCGTTCAGCACAAAACGACTCTGCCCACAACGCTAACCACGTCTTTACATGTTTCCTAAATCCTAAACATCTATTTATAATTTATTATGGAAAAAGCCTCTTGCCTGTCCTACACGTACTATATCTCTGATATCTCAGGCTGTTGTTGGATTTATAAAAATAAAACTTTCTCAATTATTCTAATATAAATCTTGTGTATCGTCGTTTTTTAAATATATTTGCGTACAATATTTAAAATATTAATCCAACCATTTTTATTTGCAGATAATTTTCGCAGCACAAACGCTACTTCCAATATATAATGTCCCAAATCCAGGAAATTGTTGTAAAACAATGTCTGCAAAAAGATTTTTGAAATTTGAATTATAAATTCAAAACCCCAGAAAATAATCTTCCGTAAGCTTAACATAATTAAACGCCAAATAAATTTTAGTTGATTGATATGGAGAATTCATACAGTTTTTTTCAGTCCAATCAACTGCAAAATTAAGTTGATCTTGTACATAAATTAATTGTTTGTTTTCCGCCAATACAAAGCATCAGCTAATTAGTGGAGGCAGTAAATAGAAACCAAAAGCTTTCAAAGTGTACGTATAGTGCTAACAACAATACTAACAACTAGCCTAATAGTTTTGTTAACTCTAGATTTTTATGTTGCAGACTGAAAAGTACGACGGAGTAGCTGCTGACAATACACTGGAATTTGTGGGTAACAATATATTCAAAAGGAAGCTAAGAGTTAAACTAAAAAGATTGAGAATTGATAATTTAGCGGAAAATATGACCACAGATACCCGCCGTCGTGTAAAATTGTACGCTTTAAATGCAGAGCGGCAATGGGATGACCGTGGGACCGGACATGTATCTTCGAATTATGTCGACAGGCTAAAAGGTATTGTGTTTGTGTGCTTCTCCTCATTGAAATATGTATTTCTCTTCTAATTATGTGCCTTTTATAAAAAAAATGAAGGCATTTCATTGTTGGTGCGTGCCGAATCGGATGGTTCTTTACTTTTGGAAAGTAAAATTCAACCAGACACCGCCTATCAGAAACAACAGGACACACTGATCGTTTGGTCAGAGGGTGATAATTTCGATTTGGCATTAAGCTTTCAAGAGAAGGCGGGTTGCGATGAAATTTGGGAAAAAATATGCCAGGTATAATAAATTTTAATAGTTTGAGAACATATTTCGATTAAATTAATTTTGTAGATACAACTATTTTTTAAAAACACCTACTAGGTAAATAAAATTTTCACTATTTCTAATATCTTATTTATTAAAGGTTCAAGGTAAAGATCCATCTGTCGAAATAACACAGGATATCGTTGAAGAATCTGAAGATGAACGGTTCGAAGACATGTCCGATACGGCACCGCCCATTGAATTGCCGCCATGCGAACTGGCACGCCTGGAAGAGATTTCGGAAACCATACAGAATTGTTTAACCACACCATTACGAAAAGAGAAACTTTCCATGGCATTAGAATCGGAAAATTATATAAAAAAACTGCTAAATATATTCCATGTATGCGAGGATCTCGATAGTACCGAAGGTTTACATCATCTCTTTGAGATTTTCAAGAACATTTTCCTACTCAATAAGAATGCATTGTTCGAAATTATGTTTGCCGAAGATACTATTTTCGATGTGGTTGGCTGCCTAGAATATGATCCCAGTTCCACTCAACCAAAGAAGCATCGTCAGTATTTAAAACAGTGGGCCAAGTTCCGAGAAGCAGTGCCGATTAAAAATCAAGATCTGCTTGCTAAAATTCATCAAACGTTCCGTGTACAATACATACAAGACATAATATTGCCAACACCGTCTGTATTTGTCGAAGACAACATGCTAAATACCCTGTCAAGTTTTATATTCTTTAATAAAGTGGAAATTGTCACACTTATACAAGAAGATGAACGTTTCCTGGTTGACATGTTTACTATACTAACAGACCCAAGTACTAGTGATGCTAAGCGTCGCGATATTGTACTATTTTTGAAAGAATTTTGCAATTATGCACAGAATTTGCAACCACAGGGCAAAGACTCTTTCTATAAGACACTCACATGTCTGGGCATATTGCAAGCGCTAGAGATAACGTTAGTGATGAACGATCAAAAGACAAAGTCCGCATCAATTGACATACTCACAGCAATTGTGGAGTTTTCACCGCTGGTGGTACGCAACTACACCTTGCAACAGGTCAATCGCACAGAGGGGGTAAGTTTGTTGTCAGCTTACATTACAAACACATACATAAATTTATCAATATCTATGCACTTTCTTTAGGACCGTATGTTATTGAACATTGCCATTGAACAAATGTTGAGCGACTCAGAACCCGAACTGGGCGTAGCAGTGCAATTAATGGGCATTATTAAAATATTATTGGAGCCAGAAAGCATGCTAACTGAGAAGGCAGACTTTTTGAACTTCTTCTACAAGTATAGCATACAGACGTTAATTTGTAAGTGATATAAAAAACAAAAAAAAAAAAAAAAATCAAAAATGGCTAAATTTTCGTTTATATTATTTTTATTTGTGTTTAGCACCACTACTTATTAACACAATCGGTGATCGTCCAGATAGTGAAGACTACCAAACCGCACAACTACTTGGCATTGTCTTGGATATATTGTCATTTTGTGTGGAACATCATACTTATCATATTAAAAACTTTATCATACAAAAAGATCTCCTAAAGAGAATACTTGTGCTTATGAAAAGCACACACACGTTCCTCGTTCTTGGCGCACTTAGACTTTTAAGAAAAATTATTGCACTTAAAGACGAGTTTTATAATAGGTAAGTTAGGTACATATATACAAATTTCTATTCGCTTTCGCTTTGCCTCCTATGTCTCCTATTTCCTGATTGTATTTTATTATAGCATGTTATTAAGTAGAACGTAAATAATCGGAATGAAATGAAATGGAGGTTATGTCAGAAAAGTAATTTGAATAAATATATAATTTATTGTGTTCGTGGTCGATAGTTACTCGTAGCAAATGCCTGTTAAATATATAGATCCATTTTTTCCTATGCAGAACTAAAGAGCTAACGAGTCTTGCAGTGTTGAAAACACTACTTGAAACAGAATTCATTGAATGATATTTACTGAAATATTCAAATGATTTTATATTTGTTCACTAATAGTTTGGGAATATTTATTATTTCGACCAACAGGCATATAGTTAAAGGTAACCTATTTGCACCAGTGGTTGACGCATTCATTAGAAATAATGGCAGATATAATTTACTCGAATCGGCTATACTGGAATTATTTGAGTTTGTGAAACTTGAAGATATCAAAACACTTTGTGTCTACTTTGTGGAGAATTTCAGCAAAATATTTGATGAAATCGAATATGTACAAACGTTTAAATATCTCAAAAATCGCTATGATCAGTATCAGGACCGAATAAAGGATCGCGACAAGATGTCGCTGGATACGTAAGTGGTCATATTTACCACATACATGTACATATATATTGCACTATATTTTACTGAAGAACATCTAGATATTCTAACAAATAAATATGTATATATATTAAAAACAGTGGCATTCCAATTATACGTAGTCGCTTCCGTCGTGATCCGCGACAAATGGACGACGAAGAGGAGATGTGGTTCAACGAGGAGGAAGATTTCGCCGACGAGTACGATACATACAACAGTGTAATGAAATGTATGTAATTTATGAGAATTTTACCTAACTCTTTCCTTTTATAGCGTTGAGACTTTACATTTCTTTTTTTCATTTGCAGCCGTTACTGAAAAGAATGGCCCTTCCCAATCTCCGTCACAACAACAAACATCGATGCAACAGAAGTCGCCACCACAAGGCGCACAACATGGCGGCGGTCTGCTCGGCAGTAGTGGCAGCGGGATGAATAGTTTAAGCTCCACAACGACCAGTTCAACGACACTAACTCCAACTGCCGGTGTTAGCGGCAGCGGTATGGGCAGCGTCTCATCCATCAGTGGCGTGAGCCTTAGTGATGTGGTTTCAAATGCGTCCAATAGCAGTAGTAGCCTCGATCATACACAATCTGCCGCCGCTGCCGCCGCCGCCGCCGCTGCAGCTGCTACACAGGCGCATTTGGGTGCTGCCGCTGTGGCTGCCAACATTGCCCTGCATCATCAGCAGCAAACAGCACTGCATAATTTCCAACAACAACAGCAGCTTAATTTGAATAGCACATTAGTGGCGGCAGCCGCTGCCGCTGCGGCTGGTGTGGCCAGTACATCGGCCGCAAGCGCTGCGCACTTAGAAGCGCAGAACCAACATCAGCAACAGCATCAACATCCAGAGCATGGGCAAGAGGATCCCGACATTGTCGAGTTGCGTCAACACTTGGTCTCCATTGTACCGCAGCACCAAGAGCTGGCGTTGGCAGCCGCAACATCGTCATCAACTGTCGTCACAGCGTCGGGGTCGGCATCGTCAGCGGTAGCTACCTTGCAATCGCATTCATTGTCATCGACATCGATAGCAGCGACACCAACCACTTCGACCGCGTTATCAGAGTCGGCAGTTGCCGCCGCAGCAGCCGCTTCGCAACTATTGACATCGATTGCATCAAGCGACGCTGTAGCTGCCGTGGCAGCAGCAGCCGCAGCAGCAGTCGCGGCCACAGTAACAGGTGTAACGTCTAATATGGCCGGTGGTGGTGGAGGTATTGTTACTGCGGCGAATTTGGCAGCGGCTGCAAATGCTGCGGACTCTTTGTCTCTAAATATTGTTAAGCACAATGAGGGAGTCGATAATATGGGTACGGGCAACAATAAAGATGGTGGCGCTATTTCGTCCGTAGCCAGTGGGGAGAGCATTTTAAAGAAGGTAAAACGAGCGTGAAGAGGTTAAGTCCGATGTGAAGTAGTAAAAGGCTTGTTTTTTTTATTTTTTGTGAATCTTGTAGGGTCTTGTGGACTATGAAAGCGACTCCGGTGATGAGGATGATTATGAAGAGGAGGAGGAAGAGGAGTCGCCGCATCAAAAGAAGCCACGTTTGGCATAGCAAAATTACGCTACAAATGCAGCTGCCGCAGCAGCAGCGGCAGCAGCAGCAGCAGCCGCGGCCGCTGCAGAATCAATTATTAAAACATTCGCAACAATGTCTTCAACACATTACAGCAACAACTGCAACAATTTGTAAAAGCAATAGCCATAAATAAAAACTTGCAGTGACCAGTGCCGTACGCTATAGTACATGCCAGCCAGCAAGTGCAGCAAAAACAATTACAACAGTCGGTGGTGTAACAGAAATACAATAAACATAGAGCAACAAACAATTAACGATAAACAAAATAAAAAAAATAAAAAACAGCAGCAGCAAAACCAGTTGGTCAGTGTGGTGTGGTAGAGAATAGTCGATAGACAACAAGAAAACAAGCACAGCCAGCGACGGCAGCCAACTTAGCCGGTATAGCTAGAAGGCTGCTGAAGCATGTAAACATGGGCGAAAGAAATTGAAGAGAAGGAACTTTTGGTGTTTATTGTTTATACTGACACTGCGGATGGATGAACGGCAGACAAAATTAATATAAAATAGAAACGAAACAAAAAGCGTACATACATAATTATACATAGATACATAAATACATACTACATACAAGTATATAACGCGTAATCTACTAGAGAATAAATATAATTATATAATAAATAAAATGAAATTAAATTTGCAGAAAACAATAAACTTTGTCGAACTATAAATACATACATACATATATGCAGGATAAATATATATGAATAGAAGAGTGATGTGAAAAACATATATGTTAGAAGTCATACAAATCTTAAACAAATATGAAACACATCCAATATAATAACGATTTGCAAGAAAGGAAGTGAAGAATGAAAGGTGCTCACACACCATACTTCATACATTTACTTTATAAAATTAAAAAAAAAAAAAAAAAAAAAATGTAATAATCGTCATCATCGTTGTCGTCGCAATGTTAAATCTAATTTAAAGGAGACAACAAAATAAATGAAAAAATTATAATAGATAAATATACCAAAATTATAGTTAAACACTTTCTACTGCATTAAATCGGAACCAAACTAACTGCAAAATATTTTCAAAATTGCTGTTTCTTAACATCTTCACTCCTTATTCAGAGGTGGTACATATGACGTGTTGTCATATATGTATGCAACGTGTTGCTGTTGCCTTGCTTAGTAACAGTTGTTTCTGAAAATATCATTGCAGTTCGTGTATCTATGTATTAAATATGACGCACATACGGATTGTGGAAGCTGAAGATGGAAAAGGGGATGAGTTGTGAGAAGCGAAACAATTTGTGGGCTACCACAGTATCGGTTATATTCATTTAGACTGGTAGCCGAACTTTAATATTTGCTTAATTTTCGATAAATTTTCGTACACATGACCATGACCTAAAGTGGTACTGTAATACGCTACCAAACTCATTCACAATGAACCGAGTTAACTAATATAGGGAAAATAAAATATATTGCAGAAACATTCAAGTGTTTTTTTTTTGAGGGGTTCGGAAGTGCTTATTTTTAAATTAAACATTTTGTTTAAAATTTCATGTTTGTTGTAAAATTTTCACAAAAACCATACAAAACTTATTTAGAGCACTCAAAATAGTGGCTAAGTGGTTTTCTATTTGTTTTTGTTTTAATACAAATTTATTTTCAATACGTTTGGTAATTTAACATTCGACCATTTTAGATTTTGGTAATAAATTAGTAACTACTTTCTTTCAAACCTTTTTTTTTTTTATAAAAAATAAAACTTGCTACATTGTGAATTGGAGTCATAAACTTGGGTTAGTGTTATACAGTAATAAAAATACAGTAAATCAATTTAAGTTTTTTTTAACTTCTTCAAAAGTGACAACTCATTTCCTAATCTGCTTTTATAATGCGATTTGTATGTTGTGCTGTTCTTTTTTTGCGTTTTTTTTTGTTTTTGTTTTGTTTTTTGAAAACTTGTACTTTCAAAAACACACTAAAGGCAAACAACATAAATATTAGTAATGAGAAAGAAACAAAAATTTAATGTCAAATTGTATGTATGTTTTCATTAGTTTTATTGTAATATAAATACAAATATATATACTTTGGTATACACACACAGTTGATTAAGTTTAGGTCCGTAAATACAAACATACATAAAAATACATATGTATTATATTAGCTAAGTAATAAAAGAACAAAGTGAAGAAAATGATATGTAAAAAGCAGATGTCATTAGAATGGTCGTACACATACATACATACTATATGAATATACATATGCAAAACACACACACACACACACACACCGACAGGATGATTGGAACATAACAAAGACGGCTTAATAAGCATTAAAACGTATTTACATACATATGTATATGTACATGTACACAAAAACAAAAATGTGAAAAGAATAAGATTTAATTTTTTTACATTATATAATATTCCATATACCCACTTTGAAAATTACTCAGCTGAAAATTTTGCAAATTAAGTTTTTCCATTAATCTTTTTGCTTTTTCTGACCAGAAAATTCCGTTTCTGCCATGCAAAGGTGTTGCTGCACTGCTAGATGTTTTAATGTCTTGAGTTGTGTGTGCCTTGGCATATTAGCGTGCGATATACTGTTAAACTTATTTCAATTTTGTGTGTGTCAATTTGTCTGCCGCTTCTGTTCATTTGCATAAATTTAAACTTTTGTAATTTTTAATATTTAATATTGTTTTTATTTAGTTTATTTTTTTATTTTAATTTTTTTGTGTATTATTTTTTTTGAGTTTTTCATTTTTGTATATATTTTTATTTCTTTAGTTAAATTTAAAATTTAGTTTTTGTTTTAATCTTTTTTTTCTTCTTAATTTTTTTGTTTTATTACTTTTATTTCTTTTTCGTACCGTTTTCATGTTTCATACGCGTTCTGCCATTTGCTTCCTTCCACGGCGAAAGTCCGAACTGGACTCGAAAAAAAAAAACAAATTTAGCCAAATGCAAGCACCCACACACACACATGCGCAAGCATAACTGTACATTTAAGCAAAAGTATGAATTTTGTTTTGCAGTTAAGTGACAACGCAAAAATAAAAAAAGGAGTTAATCGGCAACGTCGTATGTATGTAAAATGGTTGGAGTGCATCAAAATAAACAAAACAAAACAATAACAAAAACAAACAATAAATATTTTTAAATAACATACAGAAGCTTAGGCGAGAGGTATACATATATACATATACATATATTATTAGTTGAACGTAAAAATACATACATACATACATACATACATACGTACATACATAAGATTATGGATGAATGGATGTATATTATATAGTTTTTATAGTTTATACTTACTATAATTAAAATGACTACTATAATTATAACTATTATCATTATCGCTATTATGATTAATTATTAAAGTATGTATATCTCCATTATGCATACACCCACACACACACACACACCCACACACACCTATGTATCTATAAAACTGCAGCATAAACACTACCCTAATCTAATATCTTTACTTTCTCGAGCCATCATTGAACTATTTGAATATTTCATTTGTTTCTAATTCGCTTAAAATATTTGTTGTCCATTTCTCAATAACGCAATCGCTTCCAAAACACATTTGTTCGATTGATTGATTGTTCGATTGATTGATTGTTTGGCCAACACTTCCAATTGGTGTATATGATTCATCTGCTTGTTGAGTTTTCCCCTTCATGACCTCCCTTGTTACAATATATTTTCGTGTTACCAGCAAAAAACCAGGCCTAAAAAAAGAAATACGAAATAAGCTAAGCAAATATCAACAAAAATCAACACACTATAACTGCAAGAGAAAAAGAGAAAAACTTTGTATTTTAAAGTTTTATTTACGTCTCCATAAATAAATATAAATACATACATACATACATGACTAAATTTATAAAGTGGAAAGAAGAAAAAGTAATAAATTAAACAATAGTTTTTAATAGTTTTTAAACAAAAAAAAAAAGTGTTTTCTATTTCAACTTCATTTCATTAAAAGTTTTTAAGGGTTTTCGACCGCTGGGCCTGACGTCACTTCTGTCTTAAGAAATCGGGCAAGATTTGCGGCGGCACAAGTTTTCGAAAAGCCAACGTGTTGCAAATCGCACGATTTACCTCGGCTTAAGAATGCATAACCTTCTACAAAGGGTGTTTTTTTTTAGACATGTGCATTTCAAGAAGAAATAAGAAGTATATAATTTAATGTTATGAGCAAGAATTTAGTTTTATTACATGTAAGTATAAATGTTTGCCATAATATTTTAAAAATTATTGCGAGCAAGTGACCGTCGCGGCTGGCTCAATTAAATTCCAGTTAAGAGAACCAGCAATCGGGAGATAAGGTACTCTTCAAAAGTTTCCATCAACAAATTGATTGTTTCGTTGACTGGGTGGTATCATCATCCAATTTAGTCACCAAAAAATCAAACGATTTTTTGAGGCTGTAACGGCGTTTCAACAATGGCTAGCGGGCGGGTTATCATCACGTTCCAGAATAAGTCTGTTCATTACGAAATGACAAACCGAGCAAAAGCTGACAAAAAGACCAACTCCTGAAAAAAAGTATTGCTCAATTGAAAACCCCATGTCTAAAAATCTAAAAAAAAAAAACACCCTTTATTTATCTCTGTCGAATATTGAGGATGAGCGCAGCTGCAGGTACGTCTACGCAAAATCTTCTGTGCGCCGATCTTCGTATTATTTTTCTTATACGCCAATTGCGCGGATGCAGGGTCTTAAGGTCTGAGCTCGCGAGAGTATCGGCACTAAGGCATGTCAACAGAAGAACCCCATAAGGTGGAGTACCTCTTTAATGGGATGCAAAGTTATAGCGTCTGCGACGGTTGTAGTGGATGTCTATGGCGGAGTAAGAAGGGTGTAGATGAAGCTAGTTCTATGATATAAGAAGGTAACCAAACTAAGTGACTAGTCAAACCGCCATCGGCAGGAAATGGCTAAAAGTGGAGGCTATGGCCTTATGGATTTGCTCCCCACCAACATACTAACACCTTAAGAAGATTTCGTCTACCAGAAACGACGGACTTGTGCTAACCCCAACTGACTTCACGACAGATTTCAAGGTAATTATTCCGCGTAGAAACCAATGGCATAGGATAGTACCAGCAACCGCAGATTCGGCTCACTAGATAACAGAGTCGTTGGCTGAGTCTACTCTAGGGAGCTTGGTATTGCCAAGTCCTTTTGGATCGGTGTAGCATTTTGCCGGCGAAACTTTCGCCTTAAGTAAATTATATCTTTTCAGAAAGCCATGCCGCTGCAAGAGTCATCCAATCTATAAAACTAAAGAATTGTTGCATTTTGCTTAATGCGAGGGCTTAGCAGTTCTACCTGAATATAGTGAAATTACTATAACTTTTTGAACAAGGGAACATGCTGCAGGAGATTACAAGGAGGCGCACATTCCTAACCTTCTTTACTTGTAAGCTCACTCTAAGGGGTACATTCATCACAGCTGCTAACTTCAGGGGGAGAAGACTTAATAGCTGCAATGTGACCAAGATAATGTGGCCGACATGAAAGAAAAGAAAATCACGAGAGCTTATCGCTTTGAAGGATCTATATACTACATACATATCTACAATTATGGGTCTTTTTACAGAGCATCTTCTTGAAAATGTAAACTCGAACGAGTTTTTTGAAACTTCGGTTACGGTTCTTTTGGTATACCGTTTTAGTAATTCGTAGTGAATGTTAAACACTCATTAACTCCTAGCAACTACAAGAATATCGCTGCTTAGGAAACTTGTTTTAGGCATAAGAACGCCTCCCCTGTCGGCCGCTTGTAAGAAATCCACCTTCATGAACCCTTTGTTAGAACTCGGAACTGATGTGAGATGAGGTAGCAATGTGGATTATTTTTGCAGAATTTTCCAATTAAAAACAATAAAGTAGAGCCGTCCTCGGCCACACCGAAGTGTTTATACCTTTTAGAGCCTTTTCAAATTTAGTTTATTCATCTTTGTATTCTCATATCGGTTGTATGGGGGCTGATGAAGTTCTTAGATGTAGATGCGAAAGTAGGATACCAAATTTCTCGCTCTCTGACAGATTTTTGACCCAAAGTCTGAAATTTTAGTAGTCGGTCGTTTATATGCTATAATGCTCCCGCTTGATCGGATCCAACAAATGTACCACTATCTGTTGTATCTCAAAAAAGAGGTATTTCGAGTGGTATTCGCATACAAACAGGCTGACCGACAGTCATGGCTAAAGCAACCTAACTCGTCACTCTGACTCGAACCGTATACATTTTGAAGGATCTAACTCGTTTTCCTCTATTACTTACATACTTCAGACCAAAATTGGTATACCATTTCATGTACAGTAAGGTATAATAAACGTACATACATACATACATATATATGAGGCAAGAATTCACACGAGGTTTCCGCAATACATGAAGCAAGCTCTCATACGAAATCAAGCTTCACATACTCTTCAGTTCTCTCATATATACTATATATGTATGTGTGTGTGTGTGTAAAAATACGTGCTAATTCCGACTCTGGGAACATGAAATATGATATTCCTTTAAAAGAATTATGGCATTCTGCCCATTTGAACAAACACACAAATCCACATACATACATCCATATGAGTATGTTCATTCACATGTACAGTGTGTATTACAAGTGGTTGTCAGGACAACACTCTATGGCCAACACAAATGTGAGCATATAGAGCCTTTGCGGCTCCCAAAGGTGCAACACTGTGAAATCACTGTCATTCGATTTCTGCCATCGTCCAGTTTAAGTTTTAGTTTTTCGGAAGCTCAAAATATGTCGTCGATGGACGATTCGTGGGTGTTGGACTCGTTGGTATGCTTTTTGCACGGACCCGTCTGGAATGCGCCACTGCAAACGTTTATAGAGGAAAAATCATTGGGTAGGATGTGACCAATTCAAGTTTAGCGAAATTTTTGCCTTTATTTTCCCTACTTTTTAGTTTTCGATCCCAATATTCAGATCGATGAGGAAAACGCGGACATTGTGGCGATACACAATGAGTATAAAAATCTGGTGGACTACATGTTGGGTAGTTACATGGAGGAAATGCAAATATCGCCGGAGCAATTTGAGACAGCGTGCTTGGAAGGCCGAAACCCGGACAACAACTTGCATTTCCATCAAGGACTCTTTCAGCAGGTGTGCATAATGGTGGAAATTTTCTGGGTGCAAGCCATTTGAAACGAGTTGACTTTCTCCTTTATAGATTTGGGCCGCGAATGATATAAAGATGTTCATACGCATGATGACGCAGCGGAATGTAGAGTTACAGTTGCAGGCCTTGGATCTCATAGAGAAAAATCAATTAGAGCTGCTGCAGGAGAGCGAACTGCTGGATAATGCTAGCCCCACAGAAAGTAATAGTGGACATGGGTAAGATTTTTTTCTTTTTTTTGCTGAAAATAGCAAATCGATTTGTAAAATTCTTGAAAATGTCGATTGTTTAGTGAGAAACACGAAGAGGTTGAAGAACTAATAGCAAAGTCAGTTGAAAAGGAACTCGAGAGCCCCGAGGCGGCTGTAACTCCGGAATCGGAAAATGTGGATGATAGTGTGAGCGATAAATTTGAGCGTCTCAATTTATTCTTCGTTAACCAAAAGGTGCATTATAACTGTACTGTAGTCAAAGTTCGTTTATAAAAATTACTGTCTACCTCTGTCTTTCTACCCTATGATTGCCATAGGTCAATCCGGAAGATGTTATGTCACGCCAGGAGTATCTACGTCAGCAGCGCGATAAAATTGTTGAAATCAAAAAGAAAACACGCGCTAAGCAGTTATTGGAGACCGTGTCACGCAGCAGTGCCGCCGAGCCTACGCCCACTGGGCGTCCATCGTCGGCACAAGTAGCACAGAGATTGATGGAGAACGGTGGAAAAACTAATGAGTTGCTGGATAAAGCAACGGCTGGTGAAGGAGCCGACGAGTCTCAAAACTCCGCACTACAGTTACGTAAGACATTGGCCAAACGCTTACGTGCCGAAGTAGTAGAGCAGCAGTAGGTGTAAAATTGAAAAAGAAAAACATTTGATACGAATATTGTAAAGTGCAAAGTGCAATAAAAGAACTCTAAAAATAGTAACAAATAGTTTTTGAGAATGTAATTAGAGACACTATGTCCGTAGATCCTTGTTTCAATTGGAAACGCTTCGGATTTACAACATTCAAAGAAGACATCGTGCGAATACTAATGCACTCTTGTGGAAAGGTTATCAAGGCATCCATGAGAATCTGGGTCATAAACAACTTACTGCTGACGCTGTAGGGTGGTTAATTATGCAACCAACATGATATGAGACGTTACGATGCACTTACCCTGGTAATATACTTCTGCTACAGGTTCTATCCAGGACTGTGCAGATAGATATGAAGTTGATTGTAAGGCTTGCTTTGTCGTTTTTCGGAAAATACCGATTCAATCTAGTTCGGGGCGTCAACTGACGGCTGCATAAGAAAGCGGTTAAGTCAGTACTTCAGGAAACCATACCACCTTAAGAAAAAGGCTAAGAATCTGGTCTGACCGACATAGTTGTCTTTGATTTAAAACGAGAATGCTGTTGTGATTGCAGAGGCTCTCCAACCCTACTTAGGATCAGGCGAGAGGATGCATGTATGCAGGAAATACGTAGGGTATGTCTGGGTTAGGTCAATAATTAAGTTGACTAAAATATCCAGACCGAGGTATGCGTCTACATGGGATGGTGTTTGAATTCCGAGATCGTCGTTCATAGGAAGAGAGTTCAAAAAGGTGTTGACAGGCGTTAAAGCCTCTCAGTACGCGTCCTTTCCAGCGGCTCTGGTATATGTGTAGTTTGGAGTCTGTGTATCAGATTACTTTCTTCCTGATATGTCTAGAGTGCAGCTGTTTGAGTGTTCCTGCTGGTAACATCCAGCAGATATTGCTTACACAGCAAAACAGTATACTCCTTAACCCCTAACAAAGATGTTTTGCCGTGTAAGAAATGCTACGGTGCTTCTTCATCTAAGCGCTGGCGTCTAACGTTTCGATGACATTTTTGGGGCTGTGTACTTTTGTCACAACTGCATTCGCATGAAGGAGCGCAGACTGTCCATTGTGACTCCTAGCAACTTTAGGTTGTTAATTGTCGGAATTATTGCGACAACAACTTCCACATGGAGTTTGAGTTGGTACCCCTTCGTCCAGTTGGTGAAAAGGGTAGCTGAGAATTTAGTTGGTTGTAGCTGGAGTCGAGGTAGCAGTTAACTTTCCAGCATAAGCTTTCTAAATGCTGGACAATATCGAGCATATATCGGCATATGAGATATATAAAACGCCCCCTGATGGAGGAGAGTTACCTGTGCGACCCATTGCTTAATCTTACGCGGCTTGGAAGTTTGATATCGAAACTCGACCGCTGAGTGTCGGTCAGTCATTTGTCAGGATCACCTCTTCAACCACGGCGGTAATGCCAAATGCAATGTAAGGTAGCAGGTGAAAAAGAGTTAAATGGGGTTGTGCTGCTGTGCAGTTTTTGGAAATCTTGCTGATGTGCTGATGGGACCAGAAATTGTATGAAGGACATGAGCAGCACGGAATCAATCACCTTCGATACTATTGGGTAGAGTAGAGATATAGGTCAATTGCCCAGTTTGAGTAACGCGACCATTCATTTTCCAAATATCGGATATTATTGCGCAGTTAGTTTGCGCAGACAGCGGGTCATTTTTCGTTTCATTTTGCCTATCAAAATGTTCAGTGTAAAAAGTGCGCCAAATTATTTCGCGCAACTTCACACCGAAAAATTAAGGCGGATTTTCACGATTACTAGAATAATGTTGGCTGGTTTACCTTAATTAATCTTGAGAGTTAGCCTCAGGCTTTAGGTACAACTGCTTCTCAATCCACTGTATACTGTAACCAATATTTTCTCTACTACTGAGGTAGAGGATTAAAACATTTTTCTTTTAGTTTCCTAATTATTGACTTTTATTTATTAGAGTTGTAGTTTTCACAATTTATTATATATTTTTTTTTAAACATTTTAATTTTTTTTTTTAACATTAAAGGCATTACGGAGCATTTTTTTAATTAATGAATCCTTCTCACAACTTTGGTTTTTAGCGAGTTCAAATTCGTTTTTGTTTCATGTTTTAGCTGCTTTAACAAGTGATTTTACATGTTGTACATAATGACTAGTGTAGTGTTAGTTAGTAAATGCTAAAAAAAAATAAATATTGGTCCAATTGCCCCTGTTGAAGAGACGAAAGGAACCATATTTGCAAATCGATCAAATATTTATATTTTCTTTTTTTTTTTTGGTTTAGCGTACATTATATAGTATATATAAATGGATCAAAAAATATTGCGTCAATTGTTTCACAAATAAAATTCTAAAACTAAATCAGTCTAACCGCCATTAAACCTGCGTTTCTGCGTACTCACGCGCATGGCTTGTTGGAGGTTAGGAGTGATTAAATATAAAATAAGCAAAATTTGAATATTTTCGCCGCCTATCAACATTCACATTTGCCATTTTGTTTCCAAACAAATTTTAAATTCCACGCTAATGTACTAAAATAAAAGATGTGTTTATCCGGCTCGTACTAAACTGGTATACGATCACGCAGGTACGACATGATGGCTTCGGTGCCCTTGGTAAGTATTTGATGGCGAGGCTGTCGGAAGGGGTTACCGATCAGTTCCAGTGTTCTGGGTATATTGAAGATGCAGATTAGAAAAGGAAAATTAAATATTAGTAAGAGTATTGTTTTCATCGGTCAAGCGCTTGAACTTACCCAATGTGCGTCAGATTGCCAAGTACAGGTGGCACTTGTTCGATATTGTTGTTGCGCAAATCTAAAATAGCCAACCGCTTCAAAGCGCCCAAACCGTCGGGCGTCGCATCGATATGCTTGATACGATTATCGCTGGCCAAAAGTATTTCCAGATTTTGTGTCTGATATAGGCAGGTCGGTATGTGGTCGAAGCTGTAACGAAACGTAGTTAGTCGGTAATGGACCGGTAAGCAGAAAGCAGGCCAACTTAAGAGTCCATTGATGATGAGACTTCAACATCGAGGAACTAGGCATGTGCGATTAATCGATTAAGCATATTGCTTGTCGGCCAATAAAATAACCAACGGAGTTACACCGCACATCGATCTAATAACAAAAGTAACTAGAATCACCACTTATACCCACCGATTGTTACAGATATTCAATTCTCGCAATGTATTCAGGACACTCATTTCTTTGGGTAGATCGGTCAGTTGATTGCACGACAAATTGAGTAAAGTAAGGCGTGTGAATTGTGACAGAAAAGCTGGCGCTGTAGTTAAAAGATTGTTGGCGAATACCAATTCACTGGCGCTGCCCTTTAAAAGTTGAAGTCTAACGAATATGGAAAACAATTAAATTAATTTTATTGAGAATTACAAATTAAGAGGAAAGCTAATATATAATATTCAACAGCTTTCAATTTCTAGCATAATTTTCGCATATAATTTTGTATTTGAAAGTGGTATAAAAACTAGTATAAATAATTTTTCAATATGCTGCCACTAAAGCTATACGTATAATGAAGAAAGACATTTTTATACTATAAAATTATTTCGTTTTGAATCTTTATACGTTAATATGCTTTGGAAAGCCACTTAATTAAATTAAATTAAAATCTTTGGAATGCAGTTTTGTTAGGAAGAATTAAATTTCATTTAATTTTTTTACCTATATATGTACATAATTATGAGTACTCACGCATCGGGCAACCTTTCTAAACGATTCTTGGAGAAATCCACACAGCTGACGTGCTCTTCGGCGGCCGTTTGGAATACCTCGTCAGGCACCGTCGCAAGGTACTGCATGGTCACATTCAGTGTATGCGTGTTTCTCATTTTGTATCTGAAATTTCAAGTACGTTTCAATTATTTAATAGTCAAGTCGAGGTTAAAACATATTCTGGGAATAAATACTGCAGCCGCCTTGGCCAGCATTGTTGTGCGGATATGGCATTGGTTGTTGATAAATCGGATAATGCGGATTATAGGCTGACGTTAAAGTACCGTAGCAATTATTATAAGCACAATATGGATTTACATATTTGGATATATCCATTTTCATATATTGATAGCTTTGATAATTGAATGCAATTTGTTGCATTGAATGCATCGTTTGGGCTTGTTCATGAGTTCCGCTCGGTTGATTCGCACTCACACTCGCACTCGCACCCGCATTTGCATTCAAATTTACATTATAATTCATTGCAGTTTGTCTATGGAGGAAAAGGAGGAGGGTTGGACACACTCAGTCACACACGTACACATACACACAAATTTCAGTGAACAAGAACACAACACAGAATATGGGGAAAAACTTGAAGCCACTCACTTATCGGGAAATGTCGCATCTTCATCACAACCGCCAGCCGGTCGACGTGGACTATTCAAGCCATCCGCACCCATTTTATCGGAACTATTTTGTACAAAAGTTGCTGTAGAAGATGACGATTCAAGGGAAACTGTATCGCCTTGACTAAGACGTTGCTGCTTGTCGACAGCACGCGCCCGTTCGCGCAACGTTCGCAGTATGCGCGTTGTACCGCACTGGAGTATATCGCGTCGGATGGATTTTATGGGATTGCCGCCTATTTGCAGACTAACCAAATGTGCCAATGCGGCCAACGACAAGGGTAGATTGCCTATGGAATTATTGGTCAAATCGAGGCGTATAAGATTTTTCAGCAAAGAAATTTCGTCCGGAATTTTCGTAATTTTGTTGTCGCGCAAATCGAGAATTTTCAAATGTGGCAAGTTTGAGCAAAAGTTCTCAGGCAATTTCTGTGAAAAAAGAAAAACTTGGAATTATAAATATTTCAAGTAGAAATTTAGTGGTAATTAGAAACGACATGTAACAAAATTATAACATAAAGCCCACTTTCAGGCTGATAAATTTGTATAGCTTTATTTTTATTTAAATAATATTAACAAAAATAAAAATAATTTATTATTTGTAACTCATATAAATCGCTTACCCCAATTAAATTATTGGCAACATATAATTCCTGAAGACATTGACAGCCCTCAAAGCTCGGCAGCTGCGTTATATCATTATGCTGTAGGTATAAACAGGATAATTTGCGTAGGCTGCCCATATCCTCGGGCAAAGATATCAAGTCGTTATGGTTTAAGTCCAACTTTTGTAGCGCTTTTTGTAGTAATATAAACATACAAATATATTTTTAATAAATTTCTCTAAACTGTACACATCGATAGAAATATTATGATATCTGCATCAGGGCGGATTTAATTCTCCCCATGAGCTCTACGTCTTATGGATTATTCACAAAAAAAAAAAAGAAAGAAATTTTGAGCTTAAGGTAAATCGAATTTAGAATCATTTAGAAAATAATGCAATTTGAAGTAAAACTTTTAAATTTATAAAGAATGAAAAGCGCTTTGTAACCGCTGCAGAGATTTTCTCTACTAATTCGCGATGTGCCTCTCGATGTTTTTGCAACAAATGGAAGTTTATGCCAAGGTAACTTCAAACGGTTGATGGTTTTGATGAGGAAACTTTTTTTATGACAGAAATACCCTTGGCGGGGTTGACAATCCGTGCCGGGGGGAAACCGCATTTTGAAAAATAAGTTTATTTTTTTATTAAATTTTATTTTTTATTTAAATTAATTTTTTTATTTTTGACTCGAACCCTGGTTTTCCGACTCGCCTTGTTTCTTAACCAATATTTTTAGGTAGTTTTTATTTATGTCGATTGAACTCTGGCGAAGCGCCTACATATGTATGTAGGTGACGTATGAGTTGGGGATTTAATTTTTGAACTTATATGGTATACAATTATTTTACACCATAAGAATCATTTTTGGATACGCCACTGATGTGCATACATACACATATGTATATACATAGGTGACTGAGATGCAAAAATTCGTGAATTAAAAAAGTGTATAAATTTAAGTTTACTTGAAGGATGGATTTCAATATTCTCTGTACCATGACACCTTAAATATTACGAATTCATGAATTTTGTACTCTGGAAATTCTCTTTAAATAATTTTTGCATTTCAGACTTTATAATTATTAATAAATTATATTATGTATGTTAATTAATAAACTTACACCGTATATTCACCAGATCAGAGGGCAGTTCTTTTATGTGGTTATAAGAGAGTAAAAGCTCGGATACGCGCACCAGAAAGCCAATACCATTGGGCAGCCCACTAAGTGAATTATGTGAAACATCCTTTTTTTTTTTGTAAAACAGTAATTGCGAACCATAAACCAAAAGCAGCAACGAATTAGTTAATTCTAATAATATTTTAATATAAAGTTATGTATGGTTTTTAAAATCTAGACCAACACGTGTGAGTAAAAAGCTGCCTACAGTTTAAGGAACTGGTAATATGCTTATACATGAGTGGTTATTTAAGTCCATATGAATTATTTAAACATTGATAAATCTAGTTTTGAGAAAATAAACGCCTCTTAAGTTAAAAAAATAATAATTTAAAAACAGCCGTAATTGAAAGAAACAAATGTTTTTGATCTTAATTATTTGGGTGTTATTATTTAGTTAAAAAAATTAATATAAAAATTTTTAATTTAAAACTACAAAATTTTAGAAATAAAAATGAATTGGCAAATTTTTAAAATAAGTAATAAAATGTTTTAATTAATGTTAGGTAATAACATTTTTCTATATTAATTTCCTTTTTCTGCTTAACACCATTAGTTCCATACAAAATGTGTATAAAAAATTGTCAAGATTGTATGTTAGCAGTTATATGAAAAAATTCTAAAAATACATACCAAATATTCCAACATATGCAAATCGCTGACAGCGGGATGCAATTCTTCAAACTCATTGTATGAAATATTTAAATAACGCAATTCAGGTAACGTGTAAAATTCAACAGGTAGCTCTCTTAACTTATTACGACTCAAATTGACACGCACCAATTTCTCTAATCGGCATATTGAACGTGGTAGACTGGTTAGTAAATTGTCGTGAAGCTGAGATGAAACACGAAAAAAATAAAAAAACAACATAAATTGTTATGAATATCAAGAGCACTTTATATATTATGATAAAATGAAGGTAGAAAGGGCAAAAGAATTTTTAAAACCATGAAAAACAAAAAAGAATTGTTGACTACACTTTTCTTGACGATAACAAATTTATGGTATTTCATTTCACGACTAAATATTAAAACTCATATCTGTAAAAATCGGTTGGAGGGGGCTATATGATGAAGTTTTCGATGATTTTAGGTGAAAATATTTTTCCGCATATACGTATGTATGAACATGTGTATGTAGAATGCCAAAACTCACGCTTCTGGATGAATTTTTTCGGAATTTTAACACAAACAAATAGTCGTTCGATTTTGGTAATTTTCAGCACCAAGGTGTAGTTCATCACATAAGTTCAGAATACCAAATTTCACGCTCTTAGATACTTTTTTGACAAAATCTAAAATCTGAAAAATCGGTCTTATATAGGCTATAGTGGTCCGATCTGGCCGGTTCAATGCCGGACAAGTGATCATTTAAATATTCATACAAATGTGCGTCTGTGCACTAAGTTTAGTTCAAATATCTTAAATATTGAGAAACTAGTTTGCGTACAAATAAATAGGCAGACAGACACGGCCAAATCAGCTTATCTCATTATTCTTGTACGATTCGTACAAATATTTATGAGCCTATCTCTTCTAGTTTTGGTCCTTACATATTGCGGACCAAAGTTTACATACAGGAAAGGTATAAAACCCGCTTTAGTAAGTGAAAGCAACTGAAGGCCAATAACGATATTTATTTCTTCTTCGCAGATTAAAAAAAATGCTGCTTTCAATATACTTTTCATGAAAAATATTTTAAAATTATTTACGGTATTTCCATACAACTCACTGTCAATGTGGTCAAAGTATCGAGATTTTCGATTTTCGGCGACAAATGCGTTAGAGCGTTTGAGCTAAGATCCAGATTTGTCAACGGCATTTGATTCCACCAAGCATCTTCCTCCTTCACTGTGAGTTCATCCAATGAGGTTGGCAAATCTTTGTCAGTTTCGTTTACTTGGTAAATTTTGTCAGGCACTAGAATTTGAATAGAGATTTGAAATGTTTAATTAAAGTCCAAAGCATAATTTTTTTTTAATATTAAATATGTGTTAATAAAATTTTTAAACTTTTTTTTGTTTATTACTATTATTTATTTGTTAGTTGACAATAGCGCTAAACGTTTTAAACTTTACACTCTATTGCTCGCGGCTCTGGCGGAATTTTCGCCTCAATTTCATCTTCGGTCTCCTGCTCGCTAGTCGAGGATGCCATGCGATATTCTCGTATGTGATAGAATAAACGCCTGTGCGCCGGACCACACATACAAAACGATGTGAGCTTTTTCCGTTGTTGCTTTAAGGACGCAATTTTGAAGGATTTTCTTTCCAAAAGGACAATGCGAAATAGTAAAACACAAATTAACTACAAGAAAAATTGTTGAATAAAATTTTATTCTTAAAAACTGCAACCACCAATTCTGAGAGATAAAATTCAACTATGTGTTGTATTTTTAATTTTCCATTAATGTCGATTTTTCGCAATGAAAACATGAGATTTCATTTCAGTTGCAGTGAAGCGCGCTCGCTGGCGTTGTATTGTAGTTAACCGAGCATGAAATTTGGTTTAACTATAATTGGGTTAACAGAATTGCGGCGCAAGCTTAGAGTGATGTAATATGATACTTGAGAGCACTTAAATGAAAAGTGAATTAAAATGCATTTGTGTTGCACGAATTTATTTATTTTTCGCCGTAAATAAAATACATTTCAATTTGTTTGTATGTGGGGAAACTGTTATTAAATTAGAAAAAAACTTGTAATTTCACTGTCAAGTTCAATGGAGCAAATGCAGTTACAAATAAATTCAAACATTTGTAATCGTAAACATTCATAAACACACAAACATTCAGCATTGTGTTTGGTTGCCCGATTTGGTAAGTTGCTAGTGGCACAGACAGGCAGCAAGCTTAAAAATTGGTACAAAAGCTACAAAGCGCATTTGCGTCGATGGTTGGACACGCCGTTTAGAACGGTAATGTAGGTATGTGTGTGAATTTGTACACATAGAAATGAATATTTAAAGGTCATTAGTGTTGTTAACACAGGAAATGTGCATTTGAGGAGTTTCATTGCGCTAGGTGTGGTTGCGGTAACGCGATATTTTCATATTTTGATGGAAGAATAGTTGATGTATCTAATATACTCGTAGAAGCCTAGATGTAATTCTTCTCGTTTAATAATATTTATATTATTATTTCTACGCAAAACTCTTTATAATATATACGTATTTTGTAAAAACATATAATCGTATGCTACACAGGAATGTTCAAAACGTTTTCGATCAGAATTTGCTTTGAAAAAGTTATTTTTAATAATTTTATAAAACGATTTTTTTAAACTATATAAGTGAATATCAAACATTTTAACACTTTATGTACTATTTAACGGCTATTATTTAAAGCATTACTTATGTTTATAACGATTTACTATATAGTGGTTTTACGGTGAACAGTAAAAATTCTCTTCTTTGTAATTTTAAATATATTTATGCATAACACTTATATATACAAGCACATATATGTAACTTAAAGAGCAAAATAATAAAAATTTACTTATGATTTTTAGTTAATTTCTTTATATTTTCTGCACTAAACGATTAGTTGTATAACCAGCACAATAGGACACTAATGAAGTTTTCCGGTTGACGTACTAATTCAACCAACAACCGGCAAAGCAAACTTCTTTGCCCATTGTGACGCATACTTAAGAAAAAGTGCTTAAGGATGAGTTATTGATTTACTAAGTTCATTCAAAATTTGACAGAATAGGGTTGATTTTCATTACATACTTTTGATACTGACCTGTCGTTAAGCCCTTGCCGCTCAATTGTAAAGCGCCGGTCTTGCGTGCCTGCTTGAGTAAATGTGGCGGTAAGGATTTGTCATCTTCAGCTTTATCCCTTTTATGAAATAATGGATTTAGTTTTCCCAACCTTGAACGTACACGGCAGCCACGTGAAGCGGTGCTATTAATGGATTGCATCGAATTCGTAGTGGATGTAGTAGGATTGACACCGCCCTCTGTGTCCCCGTTAATTCTATTATTGTTCATTACGTTTAAATATTGTGATGAACTATACCAATTGCTAGTGGGCTCAATACCAATATTTTGTTCTAATGTGCGCAAAGCAGAGGAGGGCAATTGTAAGAAATTGTTTAGGTTTAAACTATTGTTGCTGCCAGACACGCCGTTCTCTGCGTTTTCTACGTTGCTGCTGGTATTAAATATAGGATTGTTGGCATTGCTATAGATGCAGTTGGTTCCAGCGCAGTTAATTGAATGTTGTGCACAAATCTCAGTTTCCAGCGGGTTAAAATTAAAGTAGTTCTCTTGGTTGAGACAGCGATAATAGCTTGGATAGTTGAGACAGCTGCGCAATTATTGGGAAAATTATAAAATAAATAACTAACAACTTGTACTAACACCAAAATAACAATATATTAAATACAAAAACAAAAATTTACTAAAATTCTTGTTCACAGCGACGGAATTTCTCTCCCGCTGCGTCGTTAAACACACACGGCTCCAATCTAACTACTTAAAATTGTTGTGCTCTTTTATTTGTTTTGTTATTGATTCGCTGTTGCTGTGCTTTATTTTTGTTGATGGATTTGATTTTTGTTTATTGTTTTATTGGCGACTTATCACAATTTCACACATGCCCAAATCAGATATATCTATTTTGTTTTTATTATTTTTCGAGTTTGAATGTCAAAAGTTCACAGCTGACTTTACAGCTGACAGAGAGCGTACTCAGAGAACGTATAACATGTTATACGTTCTCTGGCGTACTATATTTTACGTACTCTATTACGATCTTCGTAAAATCAGAGAACGTAAATTATACGTTCTCAGCAGTTGGTATACAAAAAGGTCAGAACAGAGAACGTAAATATAACGTGGATTTACCAATATTTACGTTCTCTGTCTGATGCGAGTATGCAGAGTCGTGAGCAAGATATTTCACCTCAACGGAAGCAGAGAATGTGGTAAGTACGGTTTGCACGCATACCTATATACATACATATGTTTGTATACGTTTTGCTTTATGAATAGCAGAAAGCGCATGACAATTTTTAAAATTTATAGCCAAATCCAAAAAAATTGTTTCTTTTGATACGTTTCGTTGATAATTATCTCAATGCTGGTGTTTCCTCAAAATTAAATTAAAAATTGTTTTTAATCAAGGCAATAAAATAATAAAATTTAAATAAATAAATATTAGATGTAATTAGACGTAAAGCATTTTAATTATACAAAATAGATATTTCGATTGGTTAAGAAAAATACACGTTAAACTCTCAAAGGCAAAAAGTTATCGGACTTATGTTGCTAATTCAAAACATTAAATAACGACATAAATGAAATTTACATTCTTTTAATTGTTTGTAAACTTGAATTAACATGCTTATTTTTAGCAAACTATGCGCTTAGTTGCAACAAACGACTTGCACGTGCAATCGATTCAGCTCATATGTATGTACATACATATATAATAAATAAATAATTCACGTGGCACATGCTGCACGTGTGACATTGCAAACGGTTTCGCTTTGATTTATTAGACACTCCAGTATTAACTCATCGCTTCTATTCTGTTATTGTTATTAGCAGCAGTAATGTCGACATTAATGTTGTTCAAATTTATTTATAAAAAATTAAAATAAAAAAAAATATGTTACTAAAAGGGAACTGTTTTTTCATAGTAATCCTGCAATTAAATCAGCATTATTTTTTAAGGTGGAAAATTCTGATTTGAGTGGACCCTGGAACGACCGACTCTTCGGAGTCTGCTACTTTGTTCGTGTTGTCATGAACCTTTGAGGATACGTTTGTGAAATTTTGTTTGGCGGTAAAGGGTGTTTTCTTTTTGACGTGTGGCTTTCCAGGAGAAATAAAACGCATATAATTTAATGTCGTGGCCAAGAGTTCAGCTTTATTATATAGAAAAGAAAGGACTTGCCATCTTTTATCCTTCTTTTATTTATCTTTTTAAAACTGATTTCGGACAAATGACAGCCGCGGTTTGTTTTGATATATTCCGCCTGAGAGGCCCAATTTTCGACCACTTTTTTAAGCAATTGGGGCCAGGTTTTTTAAAAAAACACCTTAATAATGCGCCCACCAAGAGTTTCCTGCAATAAATTGCTTGTTTCATTGGCTATACGGATCATCTTTTTGGAGCCAAATATCGCTCATATAAATCAACATCCTTGAATTCAGGTACCAAAAAGTCACTAACCATAGCTCCTTGTGACATTATGCCCGGCTTAATTTGTAAACAAATATGGACCAATGATTATCTCTACGCACTAGTCACCAAACAGTGAAAGTGACCTTCATCGCAAAACGAAATTTTCTTGTGAAAATCGGGATCGGTAGCTACCTCGTTTTTGGCCCATTTAGGGAACGTGCAACGCGCTAGATGGTCTTTCGCCTTCAATTCTTACACGAGTTGGTGTTTGTAAGCCCGAAAACTAAGATCCTTCCTGATAATCTTGTCATAAAGTGAATGGGCACAGCTACAATTGTTGCGGGTCCTCTTCGATACTGTGCTTCACAACACTTTACGGTGTCTCTAACGCATTAACTACTAGAGTAAACTTGTAAACGACGCTGCTCCGGAGTAGGTCTATTCATTATGAAATGGCAAACCAAATCGAGTAAGAGGGGCCAAAAAGACCAACTCCGAAAAAGTATTGCCTCATTGAAATCCACTCTTCTAAACAAAAGCTCCCATATTTTACAAAGATTTATTTTTTTAATGCTTTAATGGTGAAATCATTTTTGCCGACTCAGTGAGAATTTAGCTTCACTCAATTACTTAGCGAAATTTTAGCTTGAATGATTCACAAACAGAAAGTGTATTTTACGCTTTTAGTAAAATAAAGTGTTTTCGGGTTTCTAGGGCTCAGTGGGGTGTGCAACCCTAATATCTCGTGAATAATATTTCGATAGCAGCCAAGGGGATCAGCACTGATCTAATGTCAATTGTCGTTAATTTAAAACAATTACAACGTTGTGTTTGACATACGTACATAATGACACAAATAAATTCGCATTTTCGTCTGTGCGAGTATTTGTCCGACAAACGAGTCACTGACCTAGTCTGTTGTATTCGCTGGCTTTGCAAATGTGTGTGTGTGCATAACGGTAGCTTGTGAGTATGTATTATTATTATTTAATTTGTTTACAGCGATAATGAACTTAAATCAGGCAATTGCAATGAAAGTATGAGTGGTTTTTATTGCATTTGCACGGACAAACAAACCACCAAAAGGCTGTGCGTCAGGGCGTATGCGTGATTATTTATACATACTCTACTCCACCGAAAGTAAGTGTAAAATATATAATTTTTTTTTTTGCAACTGAATTTTTTAAAAATTGCTTACCTCATATTTTCTCTTCAAATTTATGTATTCGTTCTTCGTCGAAGTTGAAGGTACTCCTTAGCGGCCAATGACTTTGTAAGCGTTTTAGCTACGAAAACCACAAAAGTGTAAGAATTTATATGCAAAAAGAAAGAATTGTAAAATGTTATAAATACACATCTTTACATGCATACATATTTTTATGTTATATTCATGTGTATATATGTATATACGAAGGCAAGTGTAAAATATCCAATATCAAGTTACAAACATACCAAAGTCTTCACTTCTACAGCACGCCAAGGCTTGCAACAATAGAATAGTGTCAAGGTCACGCCGGTAAGACTGACTGTTAGACGTCATGTGGGCTGTATTGAAATTCTATATGTTTTGTCTTGATTTTATTACGTCTTAATACTATAGCGGTACATTTTTAATAATTGTAAAGACTTTCAAATATTTTTTTTTAAATACATATTTGTGTGATTCTAAAAAACTATCAGGATTGGTACGCTTAGCAGACGGCTGGTGTAAGAATAAAAAATGCAGAAGATTGCCAGCAGTTAGAAATTTTAATTTGATAAAATTAATAACCAAAATTAACTATGTATTTCTTTACTTATTTTATTTATATAAAATATAGTTTACAACATAAATCTTATAAGCTTTTTGTTTGGGAGCTAGAGCTACTAGGACTTAAGCTTAATACTTATTTACGTTTGAAGCTTAGTCTCCTTTTGTTTAAATCTTATGAAAAATATGTGTTCTTTTGAGAAAGGAAACTGAGAGGTAAGAAGGAAGGAGGTGGGTTAGTGTAAGTAAAAATTCGTTCTCTATGGGTGGCACATAGTGGGCAGTCAATTAGAAGTTGGTTGACTGTGACTAAGATATTTGAGGTGCAAGTACAGTATATAGGGGTTGAGTTGTTGATAAGATGCCCATGTGTTAGTTTGGTATGTCCTAGTCTAAGGCGCTCGAACTTTATAACGCCGAGTGAATAAGTGTTTTTTAAGATTTATGTAAGAAGTCCATTAGATGGACCCTTTTTTATTTCGGAATTAGAAAACAAAAGCAAATATTTATTCATCGAAAATCGCATTAGTGTTTTTCAAAATATTCTTCATTAAGATCTGTAAACTTTTGTATACGTTTGAACCAAATGCCGAAGCACTTTTCAAGCATCGGAAAACTCAGGCCAACATTTCAGTTTATTTTTTACATACAAGAATAAAAAGAAGTCATTCGGTGCCAAATCCAGACTCTACGGTGGATGGCTCATCAAACCGATGTTTGAGTGCTCAAAAATGTAGTTGTTTCAGTCGATGTGTAAGTGCTCCCATTGTCTTGGTGAAGAGATTTTCTTGAAAGACAACAGTATCACTCGGCCTTTAGCGTTCTGAGTTGCTCTAGCGGCATTCTTTCAATATGTCCAACCATTTGATAGTAAGTGTTTAGTGCGCGAACAACTTTTGTTGGATTCGACTATCTTTAAACACCCACACAGGTGACTGCAGTTTACTTTCGGGCTCATTTCTTTCGTCCAATCGGCACGAGCCTTGTTTGAGTGTTTAACATATTGTGTAGGATCCAAATGAACAAATTTTTTTCACACTCAAATGTTCAGGAAATATTGAATGTATGCTGGTCCCACCAATGCCCATAGTTGTCTCAATATCACATATAGGCCGCATGTCCATCTTGCAATATCAGCTTGTGCGCTGTGCGCAACAGTTTTCGGAACAACAACCGATTTTAAACGGCGTTCCGAAAGTCGCCTTGGACTGATCTGCGGTCTCGATTGAATTCGCCATATCTTCGATAAACAGTAATTTTTTTTGTGTGAAGAAACCTTATAAGAAGCCGGTTAGAATATTTCAAAGAAACATATGAATAATGGTCGTACCAGGATTTGAACCCAACCCTTCCGAATGGCAGTACGACGCCTAAAAAATTGATTGTCTACTATTATACGCCCTTTCCATATGACCCGTATACTCATATGTACGTATCCGTTTTGTTTTTCTTATCAATAAAAATTTCTTAATAAAATATGTTTTTTATACGTTTGGTTTTCAATGAGAGAAAATATTTTCGAAGCTGGTCTTTTTAGCAGCTCTTACTTGATTTACACTCAGTTGGGCTTGCCATTTCATAATGGACGGAGCAGCGTTTGAAAAATAATGGATTGGCTCGCGCGACGCATCAAGCTCTGCGTTAAATATTCGACCGACATAGGCGCTCAGCAGAGTCAGTAGTTCAAACAACCATGGATCGGTTTCGCGCCACGTTTGTTCTAGTGGATATTGTGCAGCCTATGAGATGCCGATGATCCTATTACTACAGTGGAGTAGAGTATCGAATAAGATCGGAATGAGTCCATTCAACCTAACGCTGGGCGATGGGCACCTCTACTGCATGGAACATTTTGCGGAAGGATATTGGTTTGCGTATTTACAAAATTGAACTCGTACAAGAATTGAAGCCAAACGACCACAGAGTGCGCCACACGTTCGGTGAATAGGCTCAAAACGAGATGGCCATCGATCCCTATTTTCACAAGAAAATTTTATTCGACGACGAAGTTCACTCCCGAACGAACGGTTACTTTAATACACAAAATTATCGTATGTGGAGAGACGCCGTAATATCCTCAAAATGTCACTGTTTGGTGTGCTTTATGCACAAAGGCAATCATTGACCCGTATTCCTTCAAAGATTAAGCCAGCCTTAATGCCACAGTCAATGTGGAAGACTATCAAGCCAATGAATTTCCGTAACTTAATTGAAGAAAGTTTATATGAGCAACCGTTATTGCCCACAAGATGATCCATAACGCTAACGAAACAAGCAATTTGTTAAAGAGAACTTTTGGTGAGCGCGTTATCTCCCGTCGTTGGCCTGTGGTGTGGTCTCCAAAATTATGCGATCTAACAACGTTGGACTATTTTTGTAAGATTACGGTGACTTCACGCCTGTCTACGCAGATAAGTCTGAGACGACCGATGAGTTGGAAGACAATATTTGACACGTTATTCATGAAAAAAGTGTTCGAGTGGCCTCTGGTTTAGAATTTCGAGCCGGTCACGACGGACAGTTGCCCGAAATCAGTTATAAAGCAAATGCCTTATAATAAATAAAGTAATATTATTAATAATACATTAATTTTATATCGTGTTCTTTTGCTCCCCTTCAACAAACCTTCCCCTTTTACTAAACATTTAAGGCATTAGGGAAATTAAAAAGCATTGCGCTTAAAGCAACGAAAGTTATGCGTCGCTCTCGCAACCACAGAAGCAACTTTCATTTAGTTAAAAAGAAACTGAACAAAAACGCTTTAAATTTGCATTTTGACACAATTCAAATAAAACACTTAATTCGAAAAATCACGGTCACTGTTCTTCCTCATTTGACTGTCACACAAATTTGCGTAAGAGTCTATTAGAGCCATTAGAGCTGATTAAGAGCTGAGAGTAAAATTTCGGAAATAATACAGACGTTCAGCAGTCATTCGCATCATTCATAAATTACAACTTAAATAACTAACGGTGCAACAATAAGACTGTGGTTTGGCATTTTTTGAGTGGCGGGTGTCAGGGGTAAGTTTCGGCTTTGGCTGTGGCTGCGATTGTGGTTGTGGTAGGCGAGCGCAGCTGCGCCTTTTATTTCATGCCGCGTGCCTTACTACTATATATACTGTGTATGTATGTGCACATATGTACCTTTGCGCACTACTTAAGGTATTAAATATGTGTAAGCGAACATATGAATTTACATATGTACACATATACAGTTGCGGACGGGCTTCCCTACGCTGAAACCTACGACTGCACGTTCGTCCGTCCGTTATTTATGACCATTTGATGCGGAAAGTATTTACATTTCTATTAGTTGTCGTTTTTATTTCGAGCGCAACGCACGTTTCTACGTTTCTAGGAATTGACTTGTACCCCAGCACAAGCGCAAGCACAAGCACCAGCGGCGGCGGCGGCGGCAGCAGCAGCAGACGTTTTTCCAGCATTAATAATTCATAATTACCTGTAGTTGCCCTTGTGATTCTTTCGCTTTGTGCTGCTTCTCGTGGCAGTACTATTTTTGTCCTTGATATAGTTGTTGTCGTTGTTGTTGTCGGGATAATTTGCTTTTTTGAAAAACGAAAAATCTTCGATAAAGGATAATGGCTGAAGGCGTTTTAAAGACTTTCATACGCGACTTTTTTGCGGTGTGTTGAAAATCTTGCTGAATTTTCAATTTTTTATCATCAATCTGCGCAATATTTTTTTTTTAAACTGTTGATTTTGTTATTAAAATTTTGCATAAAATTTTGAAGCCGTGCAATCGAAAATTTTTCTTTTATATGATTTCTGTCAAAAATTTTTGTAATCAAAATATTTCGGTTTTATACTCAAAAAGAAACCGTAGTTTTCAAATGAAGTTTCTGTGGATTTTATTTAAAAAAAAAAGTGACGAAGATGAAAGTGTCTCTTTAGCGCATTGGCATACAGTGGCTATAAAAAATGTGTGACTTTTTGCAGGATTAAATAATGGAAATTTGAAGATTTGGTTTCTAGAAAGAAGTGTTTGAAGTTTCAAAAGATTTAAATTTCAAATACATTTTTAAAAAGTTGATAAAAGCCACAAAACTCTGTTCTTTTTCATATTTTCAAAAAAAAAAAAAAAAAAAATTAAATCCTTTAATGAGCCTTCTAAGGAACTTAAGTATATATGTGTGTGTGTGTGTAAAAAGTAATCCATCAATTTTGTATTTAATCGAAAGCTTTATTTACTGTAGTTAAAATTATCCGATTTATGTTAAATATACTCCATTTTGCTCGATACCTTTTTGCTATTTTGAAGGTAATGCCGTTATCTCTTTCACTCATACAAACTCTTGTCGCTATTGGAAAAAAATTGTTATAATAGATTTTCAGAGGCTTCTCGTGCGGCTAATTTTTCACTAACCAAATCATACGTCATAGGCAAGAAGTGATGGTAACCACTTGATGTGAGATCCGGATTATAAGGTGGATGCATAAGAACCTACCTGGTCGCCAATTATGGCTTGGATACTCTTTGTGCAGGCTCACTGCCGTTTGACGTTGTTGGAAGTGATTCACTTTTCATCACCCGTCACCATCCGGGTGATAGATGTGTCGACTTTGTTACGATTTAACAGCTTTAGCAGAATCTACGACTTCTTTATTCTTTTATCGACATTCATTACCATCCAGCATATTCCAATCCCACTTACAGAAAATGAGAAGCAAATCACGAAAGTCATTTATTGAAAAAATACTTTTTACTTTTTACTAACATATATATATATATATATATATATATATATATATATATATATATATATATATATATATTTGCATTTATATATACATATATGTATAAATATATTCTATATTTATCGGGTCATACAAACAATTTCCTGCAATATTAAGAGAAACATGTTTAATTCCAATTAAAAATGGGACAGTTTCAATACATACTCGTATGTCATGTGAGCGTTTTTTCTGTTAGTCACAGGTTTCTTTTCAGGTTTAGCATAATTAGTGAAATAATAATTTTTTGCATTTTTATGGTTTCATAACCGGTTGGATAGCGAAATAGAAAAGAAAGCTAATTAAAAAGCTAGTGTGCTGCAGATTATGCCGTGCCAATGCACACTGGCTCATTATGGGGGAAAATATTTAAAAAAGATGTGAAACTACTGAAACACTTTTCTTTAGTTTTTCCACACACTTTTGGCATAACAGTACGTATACGTATCGTAACTAGTTTTACAAAATTTATGATTAAATACTTATACATACATATATGTATGTACCTTCTGCTTAACCAAATGCTTTTGAATATGCCAAGTTGGATTGACAAAAAATGACAAAGTCTCAAAAGCAAACCTCGTATTTGGAATTAGCTGCTCGAATTTAGTGGGATACTACAGTAAGAATATCCTTGCTACAATCGACTTATGTTATTATATATAATATATTATTAAAAGTGCATAAAATTTCATGTTTGCAAATATGAGTTATTTCGGTTTTGTTTTCTTACAACAGAAGAATTTTTGGTGAAAAATACAGTCACACAACTGAAGAATTTGCAATATATGTATATACATTTATGAAATATTGTATATAATTAGAGCTTTATATTTGATCTTGCAATTTTCGATGCCTCTCCTGGCCTCGCGAGCGATGAGCGGCTTGATATTTTTCCAGCAAACCTTAATTTGCGTTCAAAGCTACATTCGAAACAATTTTTATTTCATGTCACTAATAAACCCAGTGTGGTAGACATTTCTTGCCGAGAAGCCGTAGGAATTTAGAGATATACTTTTTAAATAAATATTCTATAATTTTGAACTCATGACAGCACACACTGCGGTCGCCATTCAAAGTGCTTCTGCAATAATTATATAATAGTTTCATGATAAGCCATTTCTAATATAAAATTCCTCAACGAGAAAATTGGAAAATTCTGTTGGTATAACTTTAAGTGCGGGATAATTGCTTCCAGCCATTAGAGCTTTGAATTCTGACATGCATGCACATACACGTATGTGTGAATGCAATTCTCAGATGGTCAGTGAAAGGATACACCTAAAGGTCTTATTGTTGGAACTTATAGCAATAATACTTTCATCTTTTTAGTGTCTTCGCAGCACTGCTACCTGAAGCAGTATGCGAGTGGCGTCTGCGCAACATCAGATCGCCTACATGCTTAGGAAATTTTTGAAAATTGTTTTTCCCATTTCACCAATTCAGTAATTAAAGAAGATTTTTCTTTGGACTAAGCAAAAATATTTCTACTTACAAACATTGTACTTAGTGCTTCGCAATAAGTTTTAAGTTCAAAAGAATAACCTCAAACTTTTAAAATAGTTCAAAATTAAGTGAAAAATTCTTCACCTTTCNAAACAAAATTAAATAAAATGAAATGAAAAGAAAATTAAGATTATATTAAATAAACTTAAATTAAATATGAAACTTGCCTTCTTCTCTGCAAGCTTTGTATGTGTGAAAGCAAAACCCTCTCAATTTTATACTGAATGCCAAGTTCATGTACATAACATATACATATACAGTCAAGAGCAAGGACATCTTTACCAGTGACGTTTCCGTTCAAAGCTCAGTAATATTCGCACGTGCTAACATAATGTAAACAAGCACATACTGTTGAAACCATATACACGTACGTATACTCGAACTAGTAGCAATGAAACATTCTTTTTGAGAAAGCTATATATGTATGTTTGCAATGCATTGTCCTTGAAAGTTTGCCTAAATGCTTAACTACAACACAGCGTAGCGGAGAAAAAGCTTTTTACCCCCACACTAAGCACATGAACTTGAAAAATCCCTGTAGTGAAAAGATTAACTAGTAGTTAATATTTGTAGGCTGAAATATTAAATGGAGTGCTTTTTTGCCAAATGTGCGGCAGTTCCTCATCAGCTCTTTAAGAGGGAATATCCCGCGAAATTCTCTCCGCGAATCACTTATTTTCATTCATTAAAGAACTAGTATTTAACAAGTAAAATGCTAATGTAAAGGATTAGTTTATTGTAAAAACTGTACTAATAATAAAAGTCTTCAATATAGAAAAGAAAAGGAAAAGAACACAAGATAGTGTAAGAAAGCAAATCTCATTATTAAGTTATCATATTAAATAGTTCATAAGTAATAATTTTCCTGCAGGGAATTTCCACACACACACACACATTTAAATATATAGTAGCGCATGTGCTAAGGATATATAGTACAAGTACGCGTCTGCTATGAAAAAATGTTAGGCTGATTAGTGCAGATTTTTGCTTGGTTTTATCGCTATGAAAGCTTTTGGCTTTAACGGTTCAGTGCTCTTTGGATAATCCTGCGTATAACTGCTATTGGTATATACAATTTATATTAGCCGTGGCTTAAACGCGCTCGAGTAAACAAATATGTAAATTCAAATTATTCGACTTGCTTGAGATTAGACAAGCAAACTCATGTGAAATCGATTGCCGATAGTCCTTTGTATGTAATGCAGTCTGTTGTGGCGACAAACTGTGTATAGCGGTAATGTTATTTGGCAGTTCTTCTTTTGTCATCCGTTGGAACAGTTGTGTGTTTTTGTTTGTAACTTTTCTGAATACGGATTGAGTCTCGCGTGAAGCTGAAGAAAATGTACTTATTTGAAATTCTCTGGTTATTGAAGTATATTTATCTGCGCCTTCAGTCGTGGGTTTTGCCAAAGGTGAAGAGACCGAATAAAAAATATTTTTGTTTTTCGAAAAAAGTTTCACATAAAAGTGTTAAGCGAAAAAATATGACATAGGTCACTAGGAAATGCATATGCAAAAAATGGAACTTGGAAGCATAGTCACATTGCCGCACCATTGGAACGAAATCAAATTGATTCAGTTTATAGATATCCATTCGCCGCCCGCGGGTGGAGCTCTCTACTTGGTCTACATTTTGGGGTATTTTTCACATTTAAAGGAACGATTTAAATGACGAGAAATGGAAGAAATTTATTTTTTAATACACTGTTTGTCGCCAACATCGCTTGACACTGATTGAATGGTTTTAAAGTTTTTATTTAATGTCGCACCGGACATTTTTCTTTTAAGGTACAAATAGTTTAAGGCCCTCTTAAGGATAAGATAATAATACTTAGGGACTTAAACCTACATAAATTTTAGAATTAAAACTTAAATGAAATTAAAAAATTTAATTTCCCACATATTTTTCGCACGGGACCAGTTTTATATATCATGAAAAGTACAAACTAGCTTGGGATCTTTAGCTACGTCATGTTTTTATTTTATTAGTTTACACAAAATATTTTGTTGCTTTCAACTGTTGATACTAGAAAATACAGTAAAAATTCCATTTTGACAGATCAAGTACAATCCGAAAGCACATGACCCCGAATCGGCACGAATCGATGGCGGTGGCCGTTGCTACCCGAACTGCGCTTCGGATGTATGGTTGCGTTCGTGTGAGCAGGAAATTGTCGAGCCCATTGAAGGACATGTTAGTGGACACATACCCACTTGGTTGAATGGTAGCTTGTTACGAAATGGTCCAGGTAATTGGAAAGTGGGCGAAATGATGTTTCAGCATTTATTCGATTGTTCGGCTTTGGTGCATCGGTTTGCTATAAAAAATGGTCGTGTGACATATCAAAATCGTTTCGTTGAGACGGAGACATTGAAGAAAAATCGCACGGCACAACGCATAGTAGTAACGGAATTCGGTACGGCATCCGTGCCGGATCCATGTCATTCGATATTTGATAGGTGAGTCGAAAATGAACAAAATTCTTAGAGTTGCCTTACAAAGGCCAGTTTCAGCTTAAAACTGAATATATGCACCAATTATTTTTATTGGCGTTCAGTCTACAAAAAACTGTGATTAAATGTTTATCTTTTTTAAGAGTCTCTGCGATATTTCGACCCGACAGCGGTTCGGATAACTCAATGATATCGATTTACCCCTTCGGTGATGAGTACTATACGTTTGCGGAGACCCCGATGATGCACAGGTAAGAACTATTGTAGAAAAAATTTGTTTCTTCAAAGGACATACTCAATAGAGTTCCACTTTATAATACGACGTTTTCCGAAAATCATTTTTAAATTTTTACCATTTCATTCAGAATCAACCCTCGTACATTGGCTACAGAGGGACGCATTTGTGTTACCGATTTCGTGGGCATAGTCAATCACACTTCACATCCTCATGTTTTGTCAAATGGCACGGTGTACAATCTCGGTACCGCTGCCACCAAATCAGGACCCGTCTATAATGTTATCTGCTTTCCACATGGCGAGCAAATGTTTGAAGATGCCTACATTGTTGGCTCCGTTTCGTGCCGTTGGAAGCTACACCCCGGCTATATGCACACATTCGGTATGCGGTCGAATATAAATAGTTTGTAAGCTCTGCTCCACTTGATAAATCAATACCCTTTTCTTCTAGGCGTCACTGAACGTTTCTTTGTTATTGTAGAACAGCCACTCTCCGTTTCGTTGACTGAATTTGTGAAAGCCAGTTTGTCTAATCAACAGCTTGCATCATGTCTCAAATGGTTCGAGGATAAACCAACACTTTTCCATCTGATGGATCGTGAGACCGGTAAAGTGCGGTACACATTCCAATCTGAGGCGTTCTTCTATCTGCATATCATCAACCAGTACGAGGAGGACAATCATGTGGTTATCGATATTTGTTGTTATAAGGATCCCGAAATGATTAATTGCATGTATCTCGAGTCCATCATGAATATGCAATCGAATCCGAACTATGCGTCACATTTTCGTGGTCGACCATTACGCTTCGTCTTGCCTTTGGGCGTTGAAAATGCAGATGCGGTGACCTTCAAGGACCATCCTATCACTCAGCGTCGTGTGGTGAAATCCTTCACAATGTCCGGCATAAGTACGCGTTTACAGCCGACGAAAATGAAACATTCAGAGTCGAATTATGAAAACATAACAAATATGGCTATAAACAAATTACAGGAAGAGGAGATGTTGGAATATTGCAAGGGTACCGAAGAAAGCGATGAAGCGAACGAGAAGTTGGATGGTGAGACTATGGTGAATTTGGTAACGCTGGAGGGTAGTAAAGCGCAGGCTTTTCAATTGAGCAATCGCAGTATTTTGGTGAGACCAGAGTTGCTTTGCGATTGGGGCTGTGAGACGCCGCGTTTCAATTACGACAAATGTTTGGGTGAGTGTAAAAATATTTTATTTCAGACATTTCAATTTCACTTCTTTTATGTTGATTTATTTTTACTTCTATTTCCTCTTGTTTTTATTCTGATATTGTTTCAATTTATTTTACTTATTTTGATTTATTTACAGGCAAAAAATATCGTTATTTCTACGCGATCAGTTCAGACGTAGATGCAGAGAATCCGGGCACTGTAAGTAGTGGCTGCAACAAATTAGTATTTTCCAGCTAAATGTCTGTGCTTGTGTGTTTTTGCAGCTCGTGAAAGTCGATGTTGTAACGAGATCAATACAAAAATGGTGCGAAGCGAATTGCTATCCCAGCGAACCGATCTTCGTAGCCTCACTCGAACCTGAGACCGAAGATGATGGTATAGTGTTGGCTTCTATGGTTTGGGGTGGCTTAAATGAGAACCGAGTTGGATTGTTGGTGTTGTGCGCCAAAACCTGGACGGAATTGGGGCGTTGCGATTTTCATACAAATGGACCAGTGCCAAAGTGTCTGCACGGTTGGTTTGCACCCAATGTTGTTTGAGCAGGGGAATAATTATGGATTTAAAATAAAATTACAGTGCTTTGTAAAAGCACCAAGAAGCTTCATATAAAGTTTAATTTTAGAAATAATACTGATTTCATAATTATGTTTTAACGATAAGTAACAAACTTTTAGAATTTAGAATTTCAAATTGATCACATTGTAAATAAATTCCTCCCATTTCTTCTGGAAAACCCGATTTATTTTGCGACGTTCCTCTGAAGTTAAGATAGCGTATCTAAAAAGTGCAGAAATATTTCAATTTAGAACAGTTTTTCGTAGCAAAAATATACCATACTTTATCGAATTCAATGCAAGTTGCTTGAGAAACCTTAAATCGGCTTCCGCTGGTGCCAGCGCCATGAAGGTGTAGTAGAAGTCATAGCTTAAGCCCTTAGAGTTCCACACACCCGGATAGTCGGCAGTTATAACAATTGGAAAGTTTTCGGCTATTAGAAAGGTAGCCGGATGGTTGCGTATATCCCACACGAGACCCATCACTTGATTGGAAATCGGACTAACTTCTATGGCAATGTTACGTTTCTTAACGGTAGACCAAATGTTGGGATGTTTTGGCAGTGCATACCCGTGGCCGATGCGTTTGGTATTGAGCAGCAGGGCGTCCATGAGGTTCCAGTCGGTTTTACCGAACCAATCTAAAATTCGAACAAAGAACGAAAAATAAAACATAATAGAACTGTTGAATGGAAAGAAAGAAAAAATAGTTGGCAATAAAGGGTGAGGTGCTTATGAGATCAGTTGGAACAAAGTTATTCAGTTATTCATTGGCTAAAACTAGAATAAGTTGAGGCACTTTGAAGTCTGTTGCTTAAGTGTGGACCATCCTATGCTGAATGCCCCTTGAATCAAGTTTTTTTCTACGATTTGATGTATATAATTTGCGGCTTATAACCTGTGAAGTGATGTTCAGGCGAGCTCCACCGCCATTGGTCGAACGAGAACTCGAACCCTGACCTTCCGAATGGTGGTACGAAATGCTAAATCCGGGGCTAGTGCTGACAGCAATATGTACTTAGGCATATATGCATGTGTGAGTGCGTCGCAACATTTTCCGAAGAGTCAATCGATTCAATACATTTCCCTCGCTACAAATGCGTGATCACCCCGCAGCATTTCCGAGCTCCGCAAAAAAGTTTACCAGTTAAAAGGTGGAGATTTTTGTATGATATTCACCCTCGACTCCTTCAAGCGCCATTGAGCTCAATGACTGCATTTTAGGGTTTTTTCATCATTTTACCTTCTCCAAAACATCATACCACTTTTACATACCAAAGCGTAGGTATTTGTCCACAATTAGTTTTACTCACTCGTTTCGCCAGCGTGAAAGAAAAAGTTGGCCGTTGACGGCATGTCGCTCAGCTCGTTTACAAATTTATGTAGCGGATCTCCTGTGTCTTCTTGGCCAATTAAGTCAAAGCCAATAATAAAGTTGGGCTTGGCATCACTATAAAAACAGTAAAAGCGAAGGGAGAGCGTAAGATGATTTGTACACACGAATTCGTTTACTCACTGCAGTTGCTTAAAAGTTATTAAATGCTGAGCCATTTCATCCACTGTGGCCTGATTCGGCTTGGTATAGATGACCTTCAGACCTATAAAGTCTGGATGACGCGCTTTAAATCCCTCAACAATGCCTTCCAATTCATTAGCTACTTCCAGGGCATTAAACGTTCGGTTGTTATCGCCGTATAACTGTAATTTTGCAGACAAAAATTTTGACAGATATAGAATTTAATTAACCGTAAAACAGTATTCAATATCTCTTTTGGGTCTCTCATTGTTACCTCTCAGGGACTAGCTGGAACTTACCGGCGAGAGAGGTGACCTCAATTCTGCATAGAATATATTATCCTCACATAATTCTTCCAGCAAACGTTTATGATAATTGCAGAAAGTTGGCTGATAACTGTAGAAGTTCTCCACACTCTTAAATATGCTGTTGAAGCGTTGCCATATTTTGCGTTTATCCGTAATCATTGCTGCATGATGAAACAGTGGATTTTTTTTTTGTAAATGTTCAACAAAAACAAAAGATAACTTCAAACAGACATTTGTATGGGCACAGAGAAATAGGGGCTACTTAGAGACTACTGTGACGTCAACTAAGGAGCCGAAAATATATATTCACAATAATATTTGAGAACTTATCAGGTTTCAATTACTATTGTGAATGTATTATAGGTATATGTGTGCCTTTATTAACCTACATTCCGGATGCACTGTATACATGTTGATATGCTTCTCCAATTGCCGTTCGTAAAGTCGTCGATCCTCGGCATTAATTCGTTCTAAGCAAACATTTTGCACTTCACTATGGCATTTGCTCTGCTCATAGGTGAATATCAGCAAACCGTTAGCATCGCGACAGGTGTATAAATTATATAGTGTCGTCAGATTACTTATGATCCAACGCGAACTGACCATGCCGGTATTGTGACCGTGCAACAATGCCCCTTTCGGTAGCTTCTGTATTATGCGGAAGACTTCACTCTGACGCAGATACTGTTTGCCCTGGAAGAAATGCATTGCAGGCGGAAATTTTTCTGGTGTTTTAACACCTTCAGCTATCTGGGGAAAAATTTGAAATTAGTTTGGTTTTGATTATTTCGTCATTCTTCGAGTTTCACCTCTGCTCGCTTCGCATTCATGAGTATGCTATTTGCTTTGTCTTCCGCCGAGGTAAGCCAGATATTGCCACCCACTGCCACAGAGCGCTCGGCATCGATGATTTTGTTACGCAGTGTGTCATATGCTGCACGAAAAATGAAATAAAAAAATACAAGAACAGTTCGTAGAGTCCAAACAAAGTAATAAAATTTAAAAGAACAACTTTGCTTAGCTGGTATTTATGAAAAAAAATAGTTAACATTAAGTATTCCATAAAACTTTTTTATTGATTCACTAAAGTAAAAATATTAAATATCGCTACACACTCGAAGACCCGAATGTGTCTATTTCTCGACGTGCTCAAGATTTGGGAGTTTCTTGGCGCATTTTGCGCTTGGACTTACACCTACATCAATATAAAGTCCAGCTCACACAACGGCTGAAGCCAATTGACTGGCTGCTTCAACAACCAGCAGTCAGCGGTGATTTTTCGAGCAACTTTTTTTTCAGCGACGGAACACTTTTTCCACACGGTGGTTAAATAAATAAACAAATTCAGATTTGGAGCTCCGAGAATCCTCAAGAAACTGAGGAGAGACCATTACATCCAACAAAATTAACCGACTGGCCCACTCTTTGGTCTTTAGGTGTAATTTGTGGACCTTATTTCTTTGAAAACGACCACGACGAGACTGTCACCATCATTTCGGTGCGTTATAATCGTCTGTAAACAGACTTTTTTCGGTCTACAGTTGAAGAACACTACTTGGAGAATATACGGTTTCAAAAAAATGGTGCCACATGCTGCACAATACGAGCGAACTGCCCAATTTGTGCCAAAAAGTGCTCGAAAATTATTGCAAAAAGATCAAGTTTGCCAAAATTTGCAGCTCAATCATATCAATTATGTAGTGTTTACCATGCAATGCCAAGTTAAAACTTTATAATAAAAAAAAGGAATTTTACGAATAAACTATTTTAAATGCATTTCACTTCCTGTGTCCTGTTGGCATGGAATTCCAAGACCTGTATATTTCAGACATGAAAAAAAATTCTTCTCTTACAATTCAATCAGTCGGTGAGGTGGCTTGCAAAAATCTAAAGGTTTCCCTATTAACACCGTAAACTGGAGGAAGAACTCGGCTAAAAATCTCTTCATTTGTTATTTGGTATAAATTATAAGTATATATGTGCAGTAGTTATGGCGCATAATAGTATATCTTAGTTGTTGGTGGAAATCAAAAGAATCAAAACTAAAACTAAGTTTTTAAGTGACGCCAATGATTTTCATACAGAAGTTAATCGCAACTAAAAATCATCACTGTTTTTTGTCCCGTGCGAAGATGGCAGTTTTTGTAATTATTCTTATATCATTAAAGTTAGAGATTTAACGAAACCAATCCCTGCACTAATTTAAGTCTAATTGAAGGGTAAAAATTAAGTCCGAAGACAAAATTAATAGAAATAAAAGTTCTTATCGAAAGCTTCCAGTTTGAATGACAAAAATAATTTACGTTTTAATAAAATTTCGCCGATCGAAAATATCACATTTTCAATACATTTATCTTACATGTTTCCGCACATTCCACTACAAGAAATGTTGCATAACCAGCAATGAGCACCCACAACGAAGTTTCACGCATTTCTCTTGTTTGTTTATATTTTTTGTTTTTAATTAATTTTTCCCTGTTTTTAAATCTAGTTTGATGAATCCTTTATGATTTTGCCATGCCCACAGAGAAGTCTTTCTTCGCTTTCGAATCGCTTCGAACCGTTTCACAACTGCAACTGACCAAATAATTTAAATCAGCGACGAAATTTCCCCAACAATGCGAATATTTATGTCCACTAATCCAGCTTTAAATTCACCCTCTCCAGCGATGGCAGCGTTAATCCGAGACTGACAATTCAAGAGTAAAAATATCGTTCACACACACACACATATATATATATATATATATGTATATATACGAGTATGTCGCCCCCACATAGCTCGGTTTGTTGTTGTAATCTTGTTGTCCGATTAAGCGTTTAAATGTCGTCAGTTCAGTGTCAATAACAACAAAAACACACACACACACACACGCACACACTTGCCAAGATAGAAAACAATAACAACAGCTGAGTTAACTTAAAAGTTATGCGAATCGGTGAGCTCTTATGCTTTTTCGCATTTATCGCGAGCATTCAACATTTGCATAGCTCATTGACTGTAACACACTGAAGGCAATGAAAATGAATGAATGAATGAATGAAATTTCACTGGCAATGATTGGACTCCACATGGTGGCGTATACCCAGAGCATCGTTTGAGTGGAGAGGTCGTCTGGCACATAATCTATGGGGAGGCACGTTCCTCGACATATTTGGTGAACCAATGGCCTAATTGCGGTGCCAAGTTCAGCTGAGCAAATTTGTTGTTGTTTGTGCATTTTTTTTTTTGTTTACAATATTTTGCTTTATTTACTATGTATGTGCGCATTAATTTGAATGGAATAGTAAAAAGGGACTTTTATTTTTAGCTTTAGTCAATTGTTTGTAAACAAAAAGTGTAAACAAAAAATTATTATGAAAAATTATTTCATATAATTCAAACATCAAATTTGTTGTATGAGACAAACAGTTCACCGTTAAAAACAACTCATTGGTATTTTTTTCGACATTTAAATGTTTTTGTAATTGAAATTGAAATATTCAATGAATTTTCAACACGTATATGAGCCGCAAAGTGATAATTAAGCACTATAAGGTAATAAAATGTCTATGAATTTGTTAAAAGTGAACAAAAACCTGCGTAATTTTTTAGATCATTAACGAAATAATTTCATTAATTAATGTGTTCGCTTACTTTTGGGTTATTGGTGCAGTGGTCACCCGCTAAAACAATATTAAAAAGTTTTTTGTTGGCAAAAAAGTAAAAAAAAAATTTAATTTGTTTTTTTTTTTTTTTAATAAATCATAGTAAACCTTCAATGGAATTCACAATTGTGATTAATTTTTGATAAATACTTATCATAAACCCTCTGGCAATAACAGCTGGTCATCAACCTTCTCCCCCTGGTTCTTCCAGCTTAGTGGAGGTTTACCTCTTCCTTTCCATCTACCGTCGGGCACTGCATCGAAAACTTTCTAAGTTGTAGTATTCTAATCCAACCGGGCTATATCACCTAGCTAGCGTGGTCACCAACGCGAAGGGAGCCATTGATCCTATGCAAAAACTTTTCCCCAAAATCCCCCAATGTCGACTCATCACAAGTTTTTACCGCCCAAGACACCGTAAGATGGGTATGATTAGCGACTTCTAGAGTTTGGCCTTTGGCTGAGAAAGGACTTTACTTTTCAATTGCGTACTAGGGATAAAAGAGCCCCTGTTGACAAGAGTGATTCTGCGCTGGATGGCAAGGCAGACATTGTTTTTAATCGAATTGCTTTTTTATCATATGAGATATTTCGTCTTGTCTTCGTTCATTACCAGATCCATACTCTTCGTCTCCTTATCTCATCTGGAGAAAGCAGAACTGACAGCGCTATTGTTGAGAAGTCTGTATCTTCTCTATTTAGCCTTGCAACTCGTATTGTTTTCCCCCGCAACAAATTGAAGAAGTTAAACGACTCCTTCTCGTTCGCCTTGTCTGATACCCCGTTGTGTATGGAACGGTTCTCAGAGATCCTACTTGTTTCTGACGCAGCTTTTGGTGAAACGGATTGGGAAATTCAAAATTCTTCAAAAACCATTTTTGATAAATGCCGGTAAACGCACGGCCACACATTATTGTGGTTGCCTGCATTTTTCCATTTTTTATTTTAATTAGTACAGCGAAGGACTCCACAAACCCTTAGTTAATAGTCATCTAAGTCAAAATATTACGGTTTTTATTATTTTATTGATTTAACCACGTATTTATGTGTTGGTCATTTCCTCACTGCTTTCTGTCTTTCACGAAAGTGTCAATAGGAATGCCTCGAAGTAAGCCAAATACACCATTCGGTTCTAATATTAATGTTATAATTTGAGAGTCGTCTTCTTTTTGCAATTTTAATAAGCAGACACACTGAGAAACCAAACAAAATTCGAACACAAAGTTGATAAGTTAGGCACTGTATTTGAGATTGCTTCCATTCTTCGTTCAGAATTCGTCTCATGAACACATCACAAGGAGTAGGTTTAGGAATGTTCCATGGCGTGTTGAATCTAGGTCAGCCACCACAACTATACTTCTAAAGAGAGCAAAGCAAGGGGTCACCAAAATAGATTTTTTGAGTTGGTTTGAATTTCAAATTGGGAAAAAGATTATTCTCTTTATAAGTTACAGCGATTTCTTGTTAAAGCATTTTTAAAAGCAAAAAAAAAAAGTATTTTAAATTGTTTGGACTTCGTCCTTTAATTTACACAAACTATTTGCTTCACATTTTTTCAGGTTATTCATCGTTTTCTTACATATTTCAGCACATTCTGAGATCCCGAATATCGAACAGCCAACCACAAATAGCAAAAACAAAGTTTCACGCATTTCTTGTATACTTTTAATATATAAAAAAATTTATTAAATTTATTTTTGTAATTTTATTTATTTTTAAGCGTCTTTCTTCGCTTTCGAATCGTTCCGAACCGTTCCGCAACTGCAACTGACCAAATAATTTAAATCAGCGATGAAATTTCCCCAACAATGCGAATATTTATGTCCACTAATTCAGCTTTAAATTCACCCTCTCCAGCGGTGGCAGCGTTAATCCGAGATTGACAATTCAAGAGTAAAAGTATTATCCACACACACATTCATATGTATATATGAGTATGACGGCCGCATATAAATAGTTCGGTTTGTTGTTGTCAAATTGTTGTCCGATTAAGCGTTTGATTAAGCGTCAGTTCAGTGTCAATAACAACAAAAACATACTCACACTCACCAATTAAGGCAGTAAACAATACAACCAACAGCTGAGTTAACTTAAAAGCCAAGCGAATCGGTGAGCTTTTATGCTTTTCTCGTGTTTATTTGCGAGCATTCAACATTTGCATGGCCCATTGACCGTAACCCACTAAAGGAGGCAATGAATGAATCAAAGAATGAATGAAATTGCACTGGCAATAAATGGACGCCACACGGTGAGACATACATATATATATTTCGCTCAGTGCATTGGTCGGGCCAACGTAATCTATGGGGTGATGCATCCCTCGGAGGATTCAAAAATCATTCGCTATCAATTTCGTAATTGCGGTGTCAAGTTCAGCTGAGCAATTTGTAAATATTTTGATTTTTTGTTTCTACTTTTTTTCATCTATTAATTTTCCGTTATTTTTGTTAAGAGTTTTAAAATAATTTACAATTATTAATTTGGCAAAATCTGCAAGTCACTGTGACAAACATTTTGTTTGGTACATATAAATGAGAATCGGAGGTCACCTACATAGTGACATGGACTTATATAACACTCGCATAAGTAGTGAACTGTAAAAGCATTCTTCAAAAATTGGTATGAGGGACCTGTGGGCTGACATCTCAAGCTCCCTGCGTACAGCCACATTTAAAGCTATTTGTTTAGGCAAAGATTGAAAGAAAAGCTTGTACGATGAGCATTGCCATGTCGCAGTTTATAGAAGACTGGCTGCCTACTACGAATTAAAAAGGGAAGCGAGTCTCATTTGCAGACAGAAAAGAAAGAGAGACTGAATTGTGTGAGTATGTATAAATTGAGAAACCGGTCGACTGAAGGAATGCTCAAAAAAGCGACGGGTGTCCAGAATTTACTGAGTTTATAATGGTACACTTCTCGAGCCAGCTGAATGGCAGTTCCAATGGAATCCCAGTAGATGACGAACCTGATTTCCCAACCGATGACAAGAGTTCGAGTGCTGATTATCCATCTGAAATACAACAAAACAGCGAGGGCCGAAAGATTGCCGGTCAATCTTTTTAAATCAACTGCAGATAATGGTCGGAAGGCATGCCTGACAACCGTAACCTAAGCATGCTTCGCCCAATCCTCTAAAAAGGGAACCCCACAGACTGAATTATCAAGTGCTGCAAGTGGTAATTTTCATAATTTCGTGGGTGCAGAAAATTTAGTTCGAAAAGCTGGTCTCAGTTGTTGAGCAAACGATTACGCAAGGATCTAACAATATCCCGTCTCTTCAAATTTCTTTAAAATTTTGGTATCGCTCAAGATACATTTTCATAAGCGCCTAACTTTAAAAAAACAAATGTCAAAGTACAGCCCTATACTTTTGAAACCACGAATTGGATATCCCTATNTTTTGGTATCGCTCAAGATACATTTTCATAAGCGCCTAACTTTAAAAAAACAAATGTCAAAGTACAGCCCTATACTTTTGCTATACTTTTTTTCAGAGTACTATACTTTTTTTCAGAGTATAAAGTTTAAAAGACTAATAGTATTTCGAAGAAGCTTCCATGTGGGCAAAGTCATTACATATCACATAGTGATTACTCCCACTTATACATTTGTATATATGTATATCATAATTTTTAATGAATTTTCCTCAAGTACAAAACATTAAAAAAAAAATAGCAAATACAAAAAACTGGCAAAAAATATCATTCACGCTTAAACAAAATTAAGAAAGAAAGAAAAATCCAATTAAAAGGTTCGCACATTAGTCGAATGAAATGAATTTGTTGTTATTAATTTCGAATACAAAAAGCATCATCAGAGGAGTCAACTACCCGTGGACAAGTGTTGAATAATAATGATGTTATCGTGCGCCATACACGTACATACATATTGTTCATACATATACATAA